TGACTCTGTATTCAGCTGTGCATTTGTTGTAGGTTTCTAATTTTCATTTTGTGAGTGGTCAAACACTTGACTGGGATCCTGGGGAACCTTCTCCTGTCCCACAGCCGATTGGTCGATGTGCGCTGTTGTGTAACTGGGTTGGTTGGGTGATTGCTCAGATTTTTGTGTTTAATTCTAATCTTCTCTTTCCAGTTAACTCTTAAACTGGCTTTCTTACTGATACTGCCATGTGATGTCTGCCTTCATTCCCCTAAAATAACAGTCTGGCAAACTTTTTCTGGTAAACCATGGAGCAGAGGACTATCACCAGGTTTGGGCTAGGCTGGGTTTCCCTGGGTTAGAGTTGGTTGGAGCTCTGCAAAGCTCCAGATGAGCTGCCAGGAGCACTGGGTTGTGACTACAGACAGAGGGAAAATTGGGAAATATATATGCACGAGGTATATCAGCTTAGAGGACTGAGCCAAAGGAAAGCCTGTTTTCTGTACTCTGAATAAGTGTAGGCACTGGGACTTGTCTGGCTGCTTGGTGGCAACTTTGGGCATCTGAAGAAACAGTCTTTTAACTGCCCAGAGCTCCACTCACATGGCTGCGTTTAGGTGCCCAAGGAGCTGATGGGGTGTCCGTGGGTTGGGCACTCTGAGACGCGGGTCTTCACTTTCCACCTGCCTCTTGCTTTGGGTGTTTCTGTCCCTTCGCCAGTCTGGTTTTGAGGATTATTCAATGGAATCTTAGTTTAGCTTGGCAAATGAGTTACATAAGTCTCATTAATCTTGCATAATAACTACAGTAGTTAAGGCTTTAAAGCCCAGCTTCCTACTTTCTATAGAAGTAGTTCCTGTTTTGAAATGTGATGATGCATTTCAGGAACTGCTAATTAGCAGTTTCCCTTGAAAATTCACACAGGCTTATTCTAAGAACTTTTCCCTTCGTACTCAAATGTGGGTTCTTTAAATTATTAATTCCATAAATCATGTCAGCGTTCCTACATAGCTCTGATCGATTTTATCCTAAAATAATCCGCAGCTTATTTTTAGACACTAGGATTAGCGCTCTTACTCTTTTATAGTTAGAGATATGTGAATAGATGGATGCAACATGATACAGCAGGGGGTTACAATATAGACTTTGAATTCTTGTGTTGTGTGTTGGACCTGCAGCTGTGCCCAGGGGCAAGCAGTCAGAATCAGAGCACAAGCTTATGGAAGGATGCACAGAGCCTCTCTCCTGAACAGCTTTCCATCTAATGTAAGGCAAAGCTCATCAAGTCATTTTGATTAACAGAAGGGGCAAAGGAAGAGAGGAGTAGAGTGCAGTTGACCGCGTCCTTCAGCTAGGCACTCAGCTGGGGTTTGCTGAAGCATACAATTTCTCCTTTATTTTATTTTTAATATTTTATCTTTTTTGCCCTTAACCAAGCAGTTGTTACTTGAATGATTTGTGTGTGTATTGCAGCTGAAGTTTGTCCTGTGGAAAAGAGGAAAGTAGCTGACTGTCCAAATTAGCTGAGGGCAGGCATTTCATGAGTCAAGGGGGCAGGATGCAATATCAGTAACATTTTGACAGCTTCTTATTGCATTGATTGCCAACAAAAATGTATTCAGCACAAAGGAAATAACCAGCAACTGGTTTGGTTTTCTTTTCTTTAGATATTATTCTAAGTAGCATTATACAACTTGTTGACACCACCATCTTTTTTAAGTTAGTGTAGGTGGTATTGCGTTTTTTATTTAGTTAAAAGTAGGTGATGCCTAGAACATTCATTTATATTTTATGTGGTTTTATAACCTCAATATTTGCTCAGTGAACTCAACTACATAAAGGTAATGGGCCTCCTGTGCTGGCTGCCTGCCCCATGCACAGCACTACAGCAATGAGTACAGCTCTCAGGGCGCTGCCCAGACCCCTTCTGAACAGGCAATGGGAACTGTGGCTCTCTGCTAAGCCCCCTCGACGAACTGGAGAGGGCACAAAGATGTTTTTCACCACTTCTTTCTTGCTAGAAGGAAGTCTTAGAATCAAACTGTAAAGATGTTGCTGATGCTTCATACCAATCTGTGTGCTTGTTCTACAAGGATTTTGTACACATGGCACATAGTATAATGACAAATAATATAATGATTGGATAAAAGGTAGGGCAAGTGTTTCTTCTCTGTTTCACCAGGCAAGTGTTCTGGTAATTAATAAATGGCAGTGAAAAAGAACTACCCCCAATTTTTATTTTTTTTTTAATAACAGTTTTCAGAAAGTTTGACAAGTTTTGACTTTGCAATATGCCATAAATCACGTTTTAGCTCATCTTGTAAATAGAGATAAAATTGCCTTCCCAACATATTCCATGTTTTCCTGTGTAATTAACACCTCGTTCACAGCTGTGTCTGCCAGTCAAAGCCCTGCCTTCTTCCCCCTGACACTTCCTTGATACTTTGTTTAGACTGTTGAGATTTTAAGTGTCATCCTCAGGATACTTTAAATAAGTCCAAACAGGAAAAGGAAGGTGCTTCAAGAAGTCAACAGTATAGATCATTATAACTCAGAGGGACTATTTAAAAAGTATGAAGCAATTTATCTTCGTTTATTACTTACATCATCGCCTCTCAATCTGTTTTTCATGCTTCCTAAGGAAAGTTTACCAGTTTTCAAAAAAGTCAGGAAATATTAGTTTCCATCTCTATTTCTGAAGTAGAGAGCAGTCTGAAAGAGTAGATCTAACTAACAACAGCCCCCTTTTCTTGTGCACATGTGCCTTTCCCCGTACTGCGCCCTCTGTCAGAGCCAGGCAAGCTGCTCGGTTGCCTGGTGAACTGCATCAATGAACCGATCGAAGTCAAAACCAACTGTACTTATTGTAGCACAAGCCTTACGAAGAGCAGCTGAGGGAACTGGGGTTGTTTAGCCTGGAGAAAAGGAACCTGAGGGGAGACCTTATCGCCCTCTACCACTACCTGAGAGGAGGTTGTAGTGGGATGGGTATTGGTCTCTTCTCCCAGGTAACGGGCAATAGGACAAGGGGAAATGACCTCAGGTTGCACCAGGGCAGGTTTAGGTTGGACATTAGGAAAAATTTCTTCACAGAAAGGGTTGTCAGGCACTGAAATGGGCTGCCCAGGAAAGTGGTTGAGTCCCTATCCCTTGAGGTATTTAAAAGCCGGGCAGACAAGGTGCTTAGGGACATGGTTTAGTGGTGGGATGGCAGGGTCAGGTTAACGGTTGGACTTGATGATCTTAAAGGTATTTTGCAACATAAATGATTCTATGATTCTACTTTTTTGTGTGCCATCCTTAGCCCGGATGAGTTCCCAGCTCTGGCTCATCACAGGGCTGCATGGACAGTGTTACCAATGCAGCAGAGGACATACTGGGAGTGGGTGGTAAGGGGCAATATAGCCTTAGGCCCAATACAGGGACCCAGTACTGTATTTTGGTTCTGAAAATTTATCCTGAGCTGCCCCAGTTAAAGCCCTGCATGTGCGAGTACTGGCGGGATTAAACGGCTCAGCACATAACATATGTCTCAGCTAGTTAAGACCCAGGAATTTGGCACTCCAAATATGCTGAGGTGTTGGTTTGGGGTTTTTTTTCATGCTGCCCTTAAAACACACTGACTGACTGAGGACCTTCATAAAACCATGGTGGTGGTGTACATGTTGTGTGGCACAGCCCAGTGGATGAAACACAACCCCACAACCCTTGTTCAGTTCTTTCTTTGACTGGAAACGCTCCATATCCCTACCTCCTGCTTCTCAGGAGAGACCCTGGAATCTAGGCAAGCGGTTACCCTGGTGAGCTGCAGGGTGTGAGGAAGAGGGATTTTGCACCCTTACTGTCATCATCTTGTTTCGCCTCAGCATAGGTAAAGATTAATGATAGGCAGAGCGTGAGAGGGGTTTCCTACAGATCAGGGCTCTCACCTGTAAAGAGCAAAACTGAGATTTCACTCACTATGCCTTAGATTACTTCTGCAGTTTGTGCGAGATTGTCGTTTAATAAAAGACAGAAGCAGGCTTGGAAGTAGAGACCATAGCTTACAGAAACACCCCTATGTGTTAATTGTGAGCTGTCAACAAGCATTTTAATTTTTTTAGCTTTTTAAGCCAAGTTTTCACCAGGACATCCCCCTAATGCTTTTTTTTTTTTAATTTACGTTTGCCATATGCAAGGGAAAAGTTTAGTCTTTATGGATATACTTTTTTTTTACCATCACACCTAGGTATTAGCTGTTCTCACCTGTTGTTTCTAAAAAAATGTGCTTGGTAATGAAGATGTAAAAGCCTGCAAGTTACTTCCATTTTTATGCTGATCTTCCTAAAAAAAAAAAAAAAGCGTGTGTGAAAACAGCAGTTGTTCAATTGAGTTCTGTACTAAAAAATTGTAATAATTACATGTGCATCTTTTTCAGACTACAAAGGGAAAGTCTTGTGTTAACTTAAGTAGACCTTGGGGTTTAACACAAATGATGTTGCATATGCACTATATACACAGATGGTAGTAATTGCATGTGGAAGGTGAATTGGTTTTGCAAATAAATCTCTGACTTTTCTGCTTGTTCTCACATCCTGGAGAAGAAGGGTATGGGTGTTTGTTAATTGGGTTATATCGCACATATGTACTTACTGTGCAAGTCAGGGTGACTACTGTGGCACAGTTTAATATCCTAAGCGCTGGTATATTCAGATAAAACATAATTTCTTTACACCTCATCAAGATGCTCTGTTTATAGCCCTATCAATATGCACTCACATTTGAGTCATAGCTTTAAAATGTGACAATAAATGTTACAGTGAGGCAAATATACTGTTTGTCATAATTGTTTAAAACAAGCCTAAAATTACTAGAACTGGATAGCATTGCCATGGCTGATATAAAGTATTCTTTTGGATAGTTTTTGAACTTTTTTATAATAAGCAAGGCAATAAATCTTTCTTCAAAACAAAATTCTTATTCCAAATCAGTCACTAGCTGTAACATTTATAACCATCTGTTATTCTTTTTTTTGTTTCCAGGGAAGACGAGGCAAACCAGGCCTCCCAGGAAAACCGGGGCCACCAGGACCTCCTGTGAGTAACTAATGAGGGGAATGGGAAATTTTCACTCCATCCTGGAACAGTGAACTTTGTTAGCATTTTTATAGCAGGTTAGCTGATCATAATTATGGTTGAAAACAATTGATTTGTGTTTACTGTGCTGCATCAAACAGCTGCTATTCCCAGCCTTTTGATACAGCAAAGATAAAAGGTCTGTCCACAAATACAAGACTACACAGGAGGGAAAGAACAAGATGCACACTTCAGCGAAGGAAGCAGAAATTGTCTGGGATTTCAAAAAAAGACCGGCCATGTATGCTAAATGTGAATACTGTGCATTCATTCACTTTGCAAACTGTGTGATGCTCTGTAGAAGATGGGATAATTTCTGTCTCAGAGGGGTAATTTGAAAGATGAAGGACTGTGTGAAGCATGTGCCAACTGTCTGAATGGTGGGGAGGATTATACCCAGCACTGGAATGAGCACTCAGCTGTAGTTCAAATGAGTTTACTGAAGAATTAAAAAGATTAAGAAATACATGACTGTATGGAAGGATTTGTAATATGAAGCACTAAAGGGTTTAGCTCAGATAAGAGGTTTGGGATTTTTTTAAGAAATACATGATTTCAAATTTGAAGGGAGGCGTGGATCTATTTTAGCCTAGAATGAATGTAGCCTTCCTTTGGCAGAGGAAGACTGGATCATATTTGTAACATTGCCTATATAGTGTATTGTAAAAATGGTGTCATGCACAAATACAAAATGGCTATTTGTTTGTGGGTTAAGTAAACTTCTGCTGCTTTACATTCTTAGTATCAAACAAGGATTTCATAATTCCTTTTCCTGCTTACCTGAAATAGGCTCAAAGCCAGTAGTTTATGTGTCAGGACATTTGATTCATCTACTTCAACCTCACTGCAAGAAAAAACTAGTTCTATTTGTAGATAGGAGAATAGGGACTGCTACATGAAATACAATAAATTAAATTAAATAGGTGTAATTTAAACTCATCAAAAAACGAAATTGCATACATTTTATAATTCCCCCCCCCCTTTTCATTGCAAAATGTGTTCAGAAAGAGGAGCTGATGGAGTTCATTTATCCTGCATAAAATGAAATAGTTAAAAATCCCCCTCTCTCCCTTTTCTCCCCTGCATATAGTCATATTGAAGCCTTGCTTGTTTGAGTCTTTTGTATAGTTTGGGCTTCCTAGTGCTGAAACATACTGCAGACTGTGGGAGTCAAAACAGAGGAAAGGAGTGATGCAGAATCTTTCTTAATACAAATGCCAAAAAATGACCTTTAAAAGGAAAAAAAAAAACAAACCATAGCAGAGGTCAATGTTAGACCTAATCTACTTAGCTTTTTGTGAACCAGTGAAAAGCTGTTTCTCCATTACAGATTTCTGCCACCATAGATTTGCTGGCAGGTCAGGCTTGTGAAGATGTATGATCCTTGACAGACATACCAGGAATCTTGAGTGGAAGCTAAATTGCACTTTTATTACTGAGACCTATTTCAGGTTTTCTTACAGCAAATGGGAAGCTCAACTTTGTCAGCATGGCAGCATCCCTACAAGGAGCTCTGAATGGGCACTGTAGCCTACCACTACATTTCAGAAAGGCATTCCTCAAACAATCATGGCCTTATATATTGGTTAATGTATTTTTTTGTCGTATAACTATCTTGATGCAGTCCTTACTGTGGATACAGCTACACCAGCATTTTGTGCTCTTCTTCCAAGATTGAGGATATAATGCATAGGAAAAAACATACTCTAAAAGCAGTAATGCCTGTTAATGCACATTGACAGTATCCCCATATTTAACGTGCTACAGCTTGTACGTACTGAAAAGACTTTAAAATGATCCATCATTCCTCCTCTCTTTTTCAAGGCTCAAACCATATTACATTTTTTGCTATATTGTTACCCCTTCTCTTCTAATAGTAAGTAGTGGCACATGGATATGTTATTGGCCTTTACTTTGGCCTTTCTGAAGTGCAACAGAACTATCGCACCTGCAGTGTGGTTGTTATCCGAGCCTGGCATATACAGGGTACAAAAGGCTGAAGAGTTTCACCAAACACGTAAAAATTAGACTCTCCAGAAAAGGTAAGTTTGGTGTTTGTTTGATGTTTCAGAAGAATACGATACTTGCATTTGAGAAAAAGGAGATTCGGTCATTAATTTTTAGGGTAGTTACAGTACACACTGCATGTTTGAAATTATAAATCTACCTAATTTATTTATCCGTTTATGCCATGGCATTTAGTACTTAATTTAGATATTAGGAAAACAGCCAGGTGTTCAGTAATAACAAAAAAGCCCGTAAGAAGGAAAGTTCTGCCTCCTTGAGGAAGAAGTTGGTGAACAGGATACAATATTCAGGGAATTTGGTATAAAGGATGGTCCTAAAAAAAAGTGTTTGCAGGGAGGGATTATAAGACCACGTTCTGAACAGTAAAATGGGCTTTAAATTGGTCACTACTAAGTGGTGTGAAATCTGATTAATTAAAATAATAATTTTTTACCTACTTGTTACACGGCAGCATTTTTCTTGATACTCTTACCTGCCTCTAATCCGACTTTTCTAACCCTCTCTCAATACCTCATTTTTATTTTTTTTTCCCCTAACCTCGTTTCTGGGGACTTTTTTTCAGTAAGATTGATGTTTGTAGTGAGTTTCTAGTCCCTAAACAACACATGCAAATCTTCGGTTAAAAACCTGTATCAGTGTCAGAAATGTAGGTCGACTGGCAATTGGTGATGAAGCTACTCAGTTAAAATGGGATTCTCTATGCAACTTTTTCCAGGTATCCTTTCTTTTGTGTCATTTTTTTTTTTCCCTTGTCCTTTGTTTTATGTCATTTTTTCCCTTTGGAGCAAATCCTGTGCCCATAAAAGGCAAGGAGTCAATGAGGATTTTTATTGATGGGATATAACAAGTATTTCAGTAAGCCTGCCCAGGTGATGATCCTCCTCTGAGTACTTTTTAAGGTTTATTAAATATTATAGACTTTTAAAGTGCGGTGTTATTCCCTTCTGGTTCAGAATTCATGGTTTGCATCCTTGCTGTCTGATGTTGGTTTTGAGTACTGTTCTGTTATTTCAATACTGGAGAGCTGAGATGTGTGCTCACATGTGTCTCACTCCAGTGAGTAACAATTTATGCTGAAAACAAGGAATCCAAACTGGTTAAGTAGAACAGCAGCTCCCTCTAGTGCTTTTTGATCCTTTCCCTCCTTCTAAAGAGTAGAGAGCAGTTTAAAGCTTCTGTTTAATACACTATTCATTTCACTCTCAAAAGCAGTCTGAAAATTATGATTGTGAAATCAGAATCTCTGTGCCGATCAAATGGATTTCATGCACTTTCCTGCTTGCCTTTTCTTCTAAAGTCCTCTGAGAGAGATGTTGTCTCTTTCCCATGCTGTTAGCCTGCTCTGCATGGCTCTTCACTGAAATTGAAATGCTGATTTTATGAAACAAAAAGAAATACTGTCATAGCAGGATGCTGTGAGGTTGTAAGTACAGCATTTTGTTTGATCTGACTGCAGAACTGAACTGATGTAGCTGCTAGCAAAAATACCTACAGGACTTAGCAATGCAGAAGGGTTTGCCAGCAGACCATCACTTATTTTGCATAGGTACAATGCATTGGCTTTCTAGTTCCCGCACCATTTTTTTCAGTACTTAAAAGCAAATGTATGGAAGGTGTCTGAACTTACATTTATATGCTATTGGCCTAAGGATGTACATCTGCAGTCTTCACTGAGGCAAAATGCTTTTCTGGTTTTGGGTTGTAGAATTACTACCTGCCTGGTTTTGTGTAGAGTTCTGTTAAGAGGAGATAATTTATTTTTCTATTTCTCCTGCTTAGAAAATAGCTGTGTGATGTCTGTACTGTTTTACACATTGTGGTCATTCATGGGAGGCTTTGGGGTTGGACTTTTTTGTTGGGTTTTTTTAATTTTTATTTTTGCATGAATCAGCAGCCAGCTATTTCTGTTTACGCAGGTAGACTAGAGGGCAGAAAAAGGAGTTTCACTGGTTTCTCCATTAAGGTTTAACTTTACCTTTTCTGTCCCAATTTTCTCTGTCTGTACTGGAACTGTTATGACTGGAAAAATTCCATTTCTCAATAGTTCCCATTTTAGTGAGACAGCAGATCGTTTTTAAAATAAAAAGAGCACGAAGCTAGAGTTCTGCTACAGACTTCCACCAGTATAACAGCATCCGTTGGGGTGAGTCTGAGTATAACTTCTGCCCACCGTTGCTGTTTGGCAGAAGGGAAGTGCTATCAGCTCTGGTTTTTAAAGGTAGAAAACATGAGGTCTACCTGTTTTGGCCAAGTGCCATCTTATCCAAGAAGCTGTGGCAGAGCAAGGAAGTAAACTTTGGGTCTCCTAAATCAGAGGTTAGTGAACTGCAATCACAATTATTCATCCTCTTAAATGTTTTCTACCAACATGTCCAAAGTTATTGTTTACAACCAGAATAGATTTATTTCACAATTGCTGTAGCCCTTGAAGCTCATCATTCAGTTCCTCATTTACTTTTGCAAGGGGCTGAACTTCATATCTTTTATCTTCACAACTATTCTTGCTTGGAAGTTAGCTTTGTGTTACTCCTTAAAGTCTTAAATTAAATTAATTTAAATAGGGTTTTGCTTTTATTTTGTTTTGCATGTGAGGCAGTGGGAAAGTTCGCAGACTACTTGAATTTCTTCATTTAATTCCATATGCTTTTGGTCTCTTGTTACTCAGTATGTATGTCAGTGCCACCAAACTAGTTATCTTAAGTAGCCAGCAGTTTGCCTTGGAAATCTCATTTCCTCTGCCTCAGGAAATACTGTCATTCCTCTACCAATATTTTGAAAGTGAATGAATGTTATCAGTTAATTACAATAAACAGAAAATTAAAGCCATGATAAGTGAAAATTGTCAGTATCATTTCTGCTTTTTAGAAGAATATTGGAAATGCTTATGTGGTAGGATGGGAAAGGCTGGCAAGGGTTGGTCATATTGCTTGTTTCTATGCATTTAAGTTTTTTAAATCCATATCAAAATGTAATTTATTTCATGTATTCTATTGTGGCATACATCATGCCCTCGTTGTTCTTTCCATTTGCTCTTTGGAATAGTTATATAGTATCTCACATCTGCACTGATGAGTTTCATTATTTTTTACATTATAGTAATTGGAAAAACAGTATTTTATTTTAATGGGCAGGCACAGATCTGAGACAGATGGATAAAGTGATTACACTGAGTCACTTGTACTGCTGTGTTCTTTGAAATGGCCTGCTCTTGAGATGCAACCAGTGCAATTTACTTGTTACACATTTTACTGCATGGACTGTGAGACTGGGTAGGCTTTTTCAGCGGTCTCATCTTTACCAAAATGCAGACAAACTAGAAAAGTTAAGGGAGAAAAATATATAAACTCCAGTAATTTCATCATTTGGAGCTATTTCCTTCTAAGCACCTGTATTTCTATTCCTGCCTTATCTATAGAAATAACATCTGAAACCTGTTTGTAATTTTGGAAAACAATCAGGACACATTTTCAGTTCTTTTCTTATTTATAAAACTGTACTCTGTGTGCTTCAGTTCTCTCAATTACACAACTTGATATTAAAAAAGAAAAAGGAAACCCCGCTCAAGTGAGCTTTTCACTGGTATTTGGAAAGCAGCAAGTCTGAAAAACATCCAAAGTGGCAGATGTGCAGAATTCTCATTCAAAAGCTAGAAATTGCCTGTACAATAATTTTTCAACTCCTGTTAATTTCATTGCTTCTCCACTTGCAAACCAATACTACTAGTTCTTTTTTGGTCTTTAGAGACTTCAGAGTCAATTATGCAGCTGTATTAGTGGAGAGAAACAGTGTGGAAGGGGAGAAAGAGACTAGAGTTTAGGAAAACAGTCTTGAATAAAAGTCTTTTCTGTTGTTGTACACTCATTTTATTAGTTTTGTTTTAGAAATAATGATGGAAAGATAAAATTACTAAAATTATATGAATTTTTAAGAATGGAAAGGCTAAAACAGAGAGGTGGTTTACCTCTGGTAGCACAAAGGCTGTGGCATAGTCAAGAATGCAACCCAAATGCCCTAAGTTCCCATTGACTGCCTTAGTCACGAGACAGTTCTGGATCTTTTTGAGGTGATGTCTGTTTTTCAAAACTATGACATGTACAAAGGCTTTCCATTTTGTCAAAAATTATTTATTTGATGTACAAATAATATCTAAGAGGTCAAGATTGGTGACAGATACAGCATTCAATCCTTCCTGGCTTGTGTGGTTGCAGCAGTTTCATTTGTGGAAAAACAGTAAAAGATACAACACAGTGGCAAATGAGAAGGGAGGATAAGTTATTGGTTTTGACTGATTGCAGGATTACAGAATCCTGCAGGGATTCTGGATTCAAGAATTCCACAGTGCAGGATTACAGTGTTGAAGTTGAGACATCTAGTAAGTAAGTGGTGTCATCACGGTTCAGTCCCAGTTCTGGATTGCTGTCTTTAATGTGGATATCAAAGTGAAAATTTCTGCCATTAACTTTAGAAATCAGAGTTGAGTGAGCATCTCAGTCAAAACTATGTTTATATTCTTTTTCAATATAAATTTGAAATGACAATTCATTTCCAAAATAAAATGAATGGCCTTTATCTCTTCCAATCTTGGGGGACAAAGAGGAAGCGAGGCACCTGTGATGTTTCATAAGGCTTCGAAATCTTCCTGATGTCCTCTAATATTTAAGTACCACTGTCTTTCTGTAACAATGTAATCACAGTAAAATATGTAGGATCATATTTCATAATTTAGTGATAAAGCCTCAGAACACACCTGTCTTGTTCTGGTATGCTGCAATAATGTTCTGCCAGGTCTTACTGACTTATACATCAGTTTTAATAACTTTTGCCTATTTGACTTTAATTGGGCTTTACCATCCTTCTAGTTTTTTATACCTCCAGACTCCATGGAAACTTTGTGATTGTCTCTCTTTTATTAGTTAGTTTCCATCAGATTGAATTTTTCCCCCAAGGAAGTAGCAGTCTGTTTGGTTAATCAAAATCATGGTTCTGTTTCTTGTCTTTTTGAAGTTCAGTACCTCCAGGGAATTACCTTCACTGGTAAGGAGAGACATCAGGGTTTCGCAGAATGATCTTCTACATGTGGGAAAACTTTGTGTGTTTGCCATTCTGTGTGCTCTTACAGAGCAGATGCATCTTGCCGGAGAAGGCTTTGCTGTCAGAATGCAAATCACGACCTACCTTATTGAAATGCTTTTTCAGAACACTTCAAAATATGATTACATAGGAGTCAAATGGTACCACCATCAGGACGTGCATCCTCAGAGTAGCTGTCCCATTTTATCACATAATCAATATCACCAAACTGGTGTCTTACTTTTTATGCAATATTTTACATTGTGGTAATTCTTAAGCTTTTAATAATCATTCATCAGCATATCTTGCTACTGGCACTTAGGAACCAGCCTTTTGACTTGTTAGTCCCAATTAGAGGTGCAGGAATTGTACATGTTGAAAAAGTTTAAATTCCTGAAGAGTGAGCCTGCTGAAGGAGAAGCAGCCTCTTGAAATTGTCTATGGTCTCTCTTGCTCCAAAGGTGCTAAGAGAAATGATGCAGAATAGTTCCATTAGTGAAAGCAAACCTTCTCTGGTCTTCATGAGTCTTTGCTGTGAGGCTCTATGTTCTTACTATATTCTGGTGATGGGACAAGAGCATGCCTCCTACATAGTAATTTTCCTTCTTACTACTAATTGTTCACCCGAAAATGCATTTAAACTACTGTGACAATTATAACATCTGGGAAGACCTAGTATTCTTTGCGTAAAGCTGGTTATTCTTAAACGAACACTAATCTACACCACCAAGAGAATGATACTTTTCTGAAAACAGAAATGCTTTCCAGTTTCAACTTTGTGACAGTATCATTTGTTCTTGCAGCCATAGTCAGAGGTCCCTTACTCATGAGAGCCATTATTTTCTAAAAGTTGAACTACACTGCTACCACAAATCCATTTACTATGTTGTAGTGAGCCTTACAAACAGCACCGTTGTGCAAAGGTATCAAATATCAAGGATTGTCTGTCATACTCAGTTCACAAGCAGCATCTTCTACACACATATGAAATTATCAGATATGAAGAATACCACCTGTGACAAAATCATTGCTGTTCTTGTCATCATCTTTTTCCCAGAATTGCCTGACGGTTTATACAGCAGCAGCTCTGAAGTAATAAACAGCTGAGGTCCTCCTTAGAAAAGCGTAGTGACTGGTTATTTAGCTTCTATAGACCCAGAAAACATAGCATCTCAGTATTTTCCTAAGATCTCTTGCTGAAATCAGTGGAGAGAATTTTTTTCAGCTTTTCTGTGAATACTTTGGAGTCTTGCTGCTGCAATGCTATGAATCTGACAGCAGTTCTTGTTGCAAAAGAACCCATTGAAAACAATCATATTTTCATCTTGAACAATTTGTATCTTGGGTGAGAAGTGATTTTGATCCTTGACTTCCTGCAACAGTTTTGCAGATTGTTTCACATGAAAATGGGAGAAATTTTCAATGGATTCTTATTCTGGAAATGTAGAAAGCTGTTTTCTTGTTACGATGCATAACACCAGAATATTCCTATCATAAGTGTGATGTACGTATAAGACCTGATACAAAATTAAAATGTGTGATAAAAACTCTCACTAATCTCTGACATAGCATCTCTGACTGATAAACAGCCTCCATTTTTTTGAATCACAGAATGTCAAGGGTTGGAAAGGACCTCATCTAATCCAACCCTCTTGCTAAAGCAGGTTCACCTAGAGCAGGTTGCACAGGACATTGTCCAGATGGGCTTCGAATATCTCCAAAGGAAACTCCACAACCTTGTTGAGGAAAAACCCTTTTCAAGACTGAAGAAAATTCAATTTCCTAAAGCATCTTTAGGGTGCATGTATGCCAGCTACATTTTCCCCACTAACACAAAAGCTGCAGAGGGTAAATTGTCTGTAATTATAAAAAGCCCCAGAGGAGGAGAGTTGCCTTTGGGCCCTGACTCTGTTAAATGCAGGTTGTTCAGACCAGGTGACTTAACTGAGTATATTGTAATCTTATTAATGTAGTCAAATGTTTCTTAGAGCCAACATGAGTGGCTGTAGTTCATATTGCATGATATGAAATTTTCAACTTAAAGAGTAAGTAAATTTAACTGAGTTTTAGTTCATAAGTTGGTGACTGAACTTTTTGTGTTCTGCCCTGATTTACAACAGTTAAAAATCTCATTGAGGGCCTGGTTTATGGCAGAATTTGTCTTTTGTTTTATTTTTCCCAAGCACACGTTTTTTAATCTCTCCATCCTAAGCCTGCATTTACGTGGGAAGTTCCTTCTCCATTGTTGAAATTTTGATGAAAGGTGTGTGTATAAGAATAAACTTGCAGTGCTAATAAAACTAGGAAGTTAGTATTTTGGAGAATTCTGGCATTCCTTAGTTTCATTTTCTGTATTCTTAAGTTAAAAATCTGGCTGTTTACTCACACTAGGAGCTGCGTCTACATCAAAACTTGTGCTCTCAGTTAGTGGAAAGAAATTTGGATGTCACCTCTGCCTTCTCTGACAGACCAATTCACTCCAAAAGAAGTTGCCAGTTTTCAAAACTCAAGGATTTAGAAACTGACTCTGCTTCTCCTCTGTGCCTGCAAAAAGTTGTAATGAACTTATGGAAAACAATTTACTCTAAAATCAAATAAAAATCTAAACCTTTTTGCATGACCACTGGTATTTGAATACAGGTGTGTAAACATAACATTGCTTAAATTAAAATGACCTTCTGATGCATGTTTTTCCATATAGGGTCCTTCTGGATTAAAAGGAATTCTGGATTCTTTGAACAAGCATTATAATGAGGTATGGAGATTTGATATAGTGTCTGTGTGTGTGTTTCTGACTAAGTAGTATCTAAGGTAGAAATGACTACAGTTTTGATCCCTGCAAACCACGTTCCAAATTAATCCAAAAGGTAGATCCTTCCCTGTCCCCTTTCTGCATCCCCATATAGCCTCAGTCCACACTCCAGTCACACACCTACTGTGTTTATCCTGCTGCCATGTGTCTTGCCTCCCATCCATCTTCTACTCATGTATTTTTGCTTGGTATAACTCAAAAAGGATGTGGGTTGGACCACCTAGCTGTTAGCATAAAGCACCAGCCTCCCATTTTCAAACCTAATTGCTCTAAACCATACATGACATTTTTTCTTTCCTGACCTACTCTGTCATGAACCTAAGGGTAGAATAGAAAAACAAGGAGGCATAATTCTAGAAGATCTGCTAGCAATCCATGAGAATTGTCCTTATGTTTGTATTATAGAGTAATAAAAATATTGTCTTACTTATAGAACCTCCTGCAGCTACAAGCACTTCATAGAAAAAAATTAAAATTGCATAGGGCAGTATTCTATGTGACAGAGCTTTTAAATTCTTACCACAGATTTTTCAAATAATGTAAACAGTGGTAATGTCTGCCATTTCAAGGATCACACAAGTTTTCTTAATTGATGCCAAAATGTGTACGTAACTTACCTGATTAGAAAATCATATTTCATTCAAGGGCTGATGAAGCACTGTTACAGGAATATTTACTTAATACAAAAGTTACTGTGTACATCACACCTAAAGTCATGCAGGTCAAACCTGGAAGACATCAATTTCTTTTAATATTAAAATGTGTAACTATAAAGAGCAGGTGAATTCAGGATATTTTTCGTATATAACATACCCACAGGAGTATTAAAATATTTTTCTGAATAGGGATTCTGGAACGAAATTCACATCAAACATATCTTTCCAGTTGCTTTTGTCACTGAAGTGATTTCTCTGATATTTAATCCATTCCAAATCAGTATATCACCTTAGAACATGCATTAGGAATTAAACCTAGTTTTATATGCTGTCCTGGATAGTGACATTTTCATACCTGGAGACTTAGTTTCTGGTTTTGAGCTGTCATTTCGTCTGTATGTGTTGAAGTTTTCTATATTTTGGTTTTATACCTTTTGTTTTCTTACCAGTTACTTCTTCCTGTCAAAGACAGCTTTCACTGATACCAGCCTTGTTTCCTCTTATCAATACCATATTTATTGTAACACATTCCCCACCTCTGCGCTATTAATATCTTTTACCCTGATAGTCCCTTTAAGGTTAATTCTGCAGGAGGAAATATGAACAGTGGTGATCTTCAGGAACTGGCAAGCATCTGTCTCCAAAAATCACGTTTCTTATCGTTGTAAGGCTCAAAGATTTCCTAAGGTGTCTTATATTTCCTAATTAAGAGTATTCTGGAAAAATGTAGACCAGCTGCTCTGTGTCTATAAATTAATCATCTTTTAAATCCCATACAGCTTACCAACTTTCTTCTTCCTTCAGCTGTCTAGTTTGAAGTTTTTAATGACTCTGACATGAGCAATTAACTGTTCAAGAAGGAAATGCTGTTTGGCTTCAGATGAGAGAGGAGATGGCTTTCTGATTCAAGTAGCAGGTTTTAAATATGCAAACTTTCTGTAACTACGTGTTCAGATATTCCTAGAGTCAACTTAATCCTCCAACTGCTACAGCAAAAGTATTAGTTTCTAGACATGTTATGAATAGAATATGGGAATATGAATATCCCATTCCTATCAAAGACAAGACAAAGACATCAGAGAGGTCATCAAAGACAAGGACAGCTTGTCTGCTTTGCCACTGATTATTCATTTAGGCATATGTGCCATTTAGGCAGAGGCACCAGTAACTTTCCTTTTTTACTGACACTGTTATATAGCATGGTGAGTGCTGATTTTGTTCACTGCACCTTGAAGATACCAAGCAGTCTTTCACATTCTAGTATATAATTTACCATGTGCCTCAATTGTTTGCATTTGTAAGATGATATTTGAGTGATATTCTGAGGTTTTTGAGATTCCTTACACCACAAGAAAGCATCTTGTCATTTTCCAACGTTTTATGTATGTTGTCAAGGATCTCAAGGTCTTTTTTCAGTTTGGTTTTTTAAAGGGTTTAAATTGTGACCATATTTTTGTTGCTATAGAGATTTTAATACCTTTTTTTTTTCCCTGAAGATATTAGGATGGCTTCTTTGCATTGGTGTTTCTAGCAATCATGAGAAACTGGGGGGATCAGTGAGAGAGATCTTTAAGACCTATCATAATTAATAATGTCTTTTTTTGCTGTAATTTCTCGGTGTCTTAGCAGATTATTTGCAATTCTTTTGATTTCTGTATGGTAGCAATGAATAGTTGTAATTGCACAATGTATTTCTATAACTTGTTGCAACCAAGCTCTTTCTGGCTCAGTATCAATCACCTTATCGTGTAAGGAGGCTGGACTGCAAGTCTTTAAAAGCATAATTACTTGATGCATGTATACAGTGAAAGAGAGCACTATAAATACAATTGCTGATTGCAGCAGCAAATTGTGCTGAATGGCAAGCCAAGAACAGCAGTCTTTCTTTAACGAAAGTGTGGGAACCTGCTGAGGATACATAATGGTATTGATCCTTAACGGGTTGGGAGACAGTGCTGGAGCATTTCTTCCCTCATCGCTCTTACTTTATGCCTATTCTTACAAGGTGTATGACTATTTTTATATTCCTTCTTGTTATGTCTTTTGCGCTTTCAGCGTAAATGAGATGCTTTGCATGTGTTGGATACGTGCATTTTGTTCTCTTCGTTATGCCAAGAAACTAGTTCTGCTCTGCTCTGTAGGTTACCTTCCTTCAGTGACTGGTAAATGATGCCTCGTGATTTGTGTTCATACACTCTCAGGCCTCTGTTATCATCCTGTGCTTGGGCATTCAAGGCCGCTGCTTGTCATCTTTTTTACTCACCAATTTTCTATATGTAGATATAAGGTCACTTCAGTCAAACCTGCTTCTAAACATCTTTGGAAAGGGCATACAGATAAGTTTACTCTAAAATGTTCTCCAACATGTAAAAGTGAAAATGAAACCACAACACAAAGCAATTGAAACTACATCACAATCTGCTCAGGAAATGTTTCAAAATGATTATAATTCATAATAATTATAGATTATTCTTGATTAATTCAATATTGCTTTTCTAAGGTTTTTTTTTCCCTTTGGCATATTTTCCTTACATTTTGTTGTAAAGAGCAAATGACCTATAAATATTCTAAGAGCATAAAAGTAGTTATTTGGTCTAATAACCCTTTTTTTCCTCCATGTATGTAAAAGAAATGCACAACTCACAATATATCATAACATACAGTATACCCATAATAACAGACACCTTGATTGTTTTCAGTCAAGTGGTAGTCAACTACTTCTCAGCAATACTCAGGTTCCCTTCTTTCAGTATCTGCCTCTTGTTCTGGGGCTGATTTTGATAATTAGGATAATCACAGTGTTATGAACCCTAAACATTGAAGAAGATCCTTCAAGCCGTTAACATTTATAAAATAATAATGAAATTTTTTCAGGTTATACTCAGTTATCAATTTCTGAAAATATTAACAGAGTGTAAATGGCACTTTTATTCATCATTATATTCTCCCATTTTAGAGATATGGAATGTGGAACATGGCAAGGGAGTTGGCTTGCTCGAGGTTCCCATTAAGCCCAGTGGCAGATGTTTTAGGACTTGGACTCCTCCGGTCCAGACTTGAGCTCGTTTTTCAGGGTCATTGGTTTTGTTGCTTTTTCCATTGTCATTAAAAGAAAACATGTTCCCCTCAGGTGGTCTGGGCCTGGCTTTGTGAAGAGGAAACCATTTACTTTGTATTTCTTTGTGTCTTTACCTTGTACAAAAGAGTAAATAGATGCAGTGCAGTAATACCTGAGCAGGTGTACAACCTGAACCCCTGGTCCTTAAATCTGTTTTCTTTGAGGAGCAGTGTGAGGAGCCTGTTGATCATATTCATTCCCTCTCCTTCTGTCTCACTGCTGTAGTAGACTTAAATTAGTTCTGGTTTACATTTCATGCTGCTCAGAAGTAAAAAGCTTGTGGTTTTTTCATAGGAGGGAAATTATTTTTATTGTTCTTTTCCAACATACTTGAGAAACATACTGTAATAATGAGCATAAAAATATGTTCTTTGCATTAAGAAAAATAATCACTGATTTGCATAGTAATATTCAACATAAACATTTCCCTTTTATGCTTTTGTTCATCTTTCACTAGTTTGACTGGAGTATGACAAAGGATGCATGACAAAGGATGTGTTGCTGCAGTACATTACTTAGATGTACTGCACAGGCATTTAGTATCCCTTTCTAGTAGAAAATTAGGACTTCTGAATTTAAAGACTGGTAAATACATTACATCATTATGGTAAATAAGTTGTTACTGTACATAAATGGTGACATGTTCTGTTCTCTGATCTTTGTGGTTATATTTCTTCCCAGAGTGATACACGACTTCTAGGACTACTTGGGACCCCTGGACCTAAAGGCCAGAAAGGAGACGTTGTAAGCATTTTGGATGAATTTGGAGAAATTTCAAAGTGCCTGTCTGACCTGTCTCTGCCACCCTTAACACAGTATCTTTTCTTTGATTTATCACAATGGTCTTTGAAGGAATAGATTTTAGATATGACTGGCTCTTTGATCTGTGTAGTCCAATATCCAACTCATTGTGCTGTCCTGCAGGTGCAGCACATGAGCCTTTATCCTCTAATATAAGATAACCAGAAAGGGAAATGCAGGAAGAACTATGTGTGGTTTCTATAACACTGTCCGAGGAGCAGTCAAATGACCTGGCCTGCTGGTTAGGGGGAAAAGACTCTAAAAAGGTGTAAATTCAGAAAATATTTTTCATAGTAAATCACGAACATTTAAAGCAGTTTGTCTGTAACGATGGGACTTGCTATACTGAAAATACTTATAGTCAGCCTCTAAAAATTACGTGGAGGTCAAATTCTGAATCCACGTTATATGACAGTACATTGTTTATAAGCATCTATCCTGTTTAAACAGTGGAATGAATTTTTAACAATTGGATGCCTTTTAAACTTGGAAGAAGAGAGACAAATGCTCTGGGTATGTCACAGGATTGACATCATTTTTTATGGAGAAGCCTGCAGATCTTCTATAGAAAACAGTCATTTCAATTAATTCCCAGATGTTTAAATCTCAGATTTCCATTGCAATAAAAGTTAAGATTTTGTGCCCTACACAGAACCAAGTACAGTTGAAGGAGGGGAGGAGTTTATTTGCATTTGTTAAAATATAAAAGGTTTTAAATATAATTTATTTTGTTAATAGGGTCAAAAGGGAGAATTGGGAATGACCGGTGCAAAAGGAGAAAAGGTAAATTATTTCCTTACTTGTGTGCTCATGTGTGGTGATATAAGGTGGCTGAATGTACTGATTATGAATCAAATCTTCGAAAATATACTCGGGATCAAGAAAATATGCTTGGGCATAGGAAAAGCTGTCAGTCTCTGAATGTCCTTAGTAATTTACTCAAGCCCTTCCTTGAAAGAGTATTTATGTGTGCAAGTAAATTTCCCTGTTCCAACAGCTCACAAAGTCCTTAACAGAACACATTCCTACTTTTACTGAATACAGGTTTAGAATTATGTTTATATAAGTTTATGACCAGAGATTGCCTCACAAATTACATGTCATTCAGACTTTTTCAAGTTACAAATGTGATCTTCAATATCTGTGTGAAAAAACAGGAGTCTTTACATTATTAAAATTTATAAATAATGTTCCTAATTTAATATTTTTTAGTTTAAGCATGAATATTCCAGAAAGATTTGGAGGGAAGGGATGTTACTGGGTGTACTGTGTACTGTGTTTCTCTAGGTGTGTACTGTGTTTCTCTAGGAATGTGGGATGTACCCATTTCTTCGTACACTGAGTAACAGGCATTTTGCTATTCAGCTGTTGGGCTTCCAATTGGTTTCTTTGGTCATATCCTTGTGTATAAACAGTTTTCACGCAGGCAGAAGCTTTTTTTTTTACTCTGTAGATATGACAGATTCATGATTTTGTGTGTTATAAAGCACCGGTGTTTGAGAATTTGTCAGATTTGTACGCAGAATCACTCTCTTTACTTCGTGTTCCTGACCCTGGCTTGTGCTCCTGTTTGAAAGGATCACGCGTGTCATATTCTTGTCATTAAATCAACATCATCCCTCAAGTAAACTTTTGTAGTCCATATACTTATATTTTATATAGGTTTAAAAAAAACCCAAAACACTTTTCACCAAAACCAGACATATGTACTATTTACCATTTAAAATAGATCTGTGTTAACGTCTTCCCTGTTTCCATAGGGAGAGCCTTCTGAAAAAGGGGACAAGGGAAATCCAGTAAGTATAGCTATGGATTTTTTTATTTTGGGGGATATTTTCAGAACACTCATTCTGCAAGACTCTCTTTACGTGTGTTGCTTATTTTTAATTAACTATTGTCCTCTCTTATGGCATTTTACAAAAGCTAGTTACATTGTTTAATACACAACTAAAGGTTGCTCAGATACTTGTAATTAACGTATTACAGTAACCAAAATAAGGCATACTGTAATAATGTGGGTTTGGAGATGAATATGGTGTCACCAGCAGAGATTTAGTGGTGAAGAATAGGCTTTAGACTGGAGAAGTTCTTAAGGAAATGTAGTGTTTTCAAACCATTTTTCTTTAAAACACTAGGAAAACCTGCAAACAGAATTAGTCTGAAAGATGAATACCTTTCAGAGTTTGCACAAGGCATCAGAAATTCTTTAACGCTTTATCAATGTTTTTTACGTTTGCAAACTATATTATAATATTTTAAGGTAGCAAATTAAAATCTTAGTTGATCTTAAAGTTTTAACTTCCTGTGGTTGTACCTGCTATTTTCAGGGAGAAACTGGAATGGAGGGCTCAAAAGGAAATAAGGTATTTTTTGACTTGTACACACTATATACATCGCTCGGGTATGTAGCTGATACTGGGAGACATAACAGTAAATTTGGATTTTTTTATTTTCTCAAATATCATTAGGGTGAAACAGGAGAACCTGGACCACCTGGTCTTACTGGAAATCCAGGATCAAAGGTAGGAGAAAGGTATTTTTATGGTATTAACAGCCATTACATTCTATGCTGTTATGTGAGAGGACTCTGAATGCTGTCAACTAGTTAGCTAGTAATAAAGGGCAGAGAATGCAAATAGTTTCTGTCAGAAGTTTGTGCATGGATCATGGCTATTTTAGTTCATAAATTTCTTGTTGATCTCAGCATCACTCAGCAAGGAATATTTATGCAAAGCTCAAACGTTACTTGGTCACTCAAGAATATGCGCACCCATTTTGCAGTTACAAGTCCACCGGTAGATGGGTGTATTCTCTTTATCCATCAGTGAGGCAAGGAGTAACCACTGCCAGTACATTAGTGGTTCCTATGTTTAATCCTATGAGGCTGCAGGTAATGTCAAAGCAGTCATTGCCTTGCTTTCAAGAAAGTAAATGAAACACAAATGTTCTTGAGAATCTCCCATGTTGCCTTGGATTGTATCAAATAAAGGTAGAATTGGAAACTGTGAAAATGTAACCTCCACCCAACACTGTTCACATTGGATATGATTGGACCGAAGTTCCTTAGATCATCAAAAGAAGTCCCAGGGGAAACGATGCAGCTATAGGGTCCATGAAACTGTGGTCTTAAAGTGATTCTCCACTTTAACTCCTTAGATTGCTCACTGGAGGCTAATGTCCTTCGCTGGTAGGAGCTACTGAAATGTCATTACTGCAGTGGAAATCTAGGTCACCTTCACACCATATACCTTCCAAAAGCGGCTCATAGAGATCCAAAGGATCATTAGAGTTTGCACAAAGTCAATCTTTTATCTCTACATCTCAATACCCTTTCTTTTAGTGCTCTGGAGTCCTTCTGATGAGATCTATTCCAAAAAGAGAAGGAACACCTACCACATAGTTAAAAAGTCATTTCTACATCTGTCCCTTGGGGGAGAAAATATTGATTTACTTATTTTGTTTCATCTTTCCTTTTAGGTAGTGCCTTTGTATTTACTTGTATTTGCTTTGTATACATAATTTGGATTTTGTACCTATCAGTCCCAAAGATTTATTGGACTAAACATTAGATTAAGGGAGAATGAGCAAACTCAATACTTCTTACTCCGTGTAGAAGATAATTCTGAATGCCGGATGTTTTACTCTATTTAGATGTGAGAACGCTTTACACCAAATTACAATAGGTGTATTGACTTTTCCCTCAAGTATGTATTATATCATTTCACAGGGACTGCAAGGACCTCCAGGACCTGTTGGACCCAGGGGACTGCCAGGAGAAGTTGTACGTATTGTGCAGTTTCACCGAGCTGTAGAAGTGTGGTGTGTGAACAGTTAGACGGTGAAGCAGTACCACAGAAGTTATCACAGGTGCTCCTTTTGTGGGTGGTACTGTAGGAATCGGGTGTAAGAGCACAGTAGTAAGGGATGCCTGAGGATAGAGTTCTGCCATTCCCTTATGTTCTTTTTGTCCTTGTGTTACCATCTGAACAAGTAAGAATGATAATACTAATTTGTCTGATTCACAGATAATTAGCTCTACAAAAATAACTCATCTCACAGGAGTAGGTGAAAATTAAAAAAACCTCTAGCAGAGTTTTAATAATGTTACATCAGGAGCTAGAAAGGACAGTGTGTGTGGAGCAAAATGAGAAGAAACGGGGGAAGTAAGAGCACCCCAAGGATTTAAACACATGGCCTTCCTTATTTCTATAGTTTTTATTATTCTGAATTGGTTTACTTCCTGTAAAAGGGGTAAAGGTTAATAAGATGAACAGAATAAACAACTATGATTATTACTTTACAATTTAGGTCAGATTTATGAGTGAGCCTCATATTCAGAGCAAGATGTAAATCTGTTAAAACTAGGGACAGTATTCAAATCTTAAGCCAGAGTAGAAGTATTGGTTGGAAAGAATTTAATAGAAAACTCCTCCTTTAATTACTGTTCAATAGATTAAATTACTAAAATACTTCTGCAGAAAGTGGAATGGAAGATTATTCTTATGATTGTCAGCTCATATTCCAATTTAATTGTGCAGAAGCTTACTGACAGTCATAAAGTACCTAAAGCCATTATATGGTTGCCATAGGTGGAAAATAGCTTAATTTGTGAACACTGACAGGTGGCAGATAATGTGTTCGTGTGTCCGTGCGAGAATGTCAAAACCTGAACTGCTGAACTCTGAAGCAGAAGCCTACTACTTGTTAGATGCAACAGTAGGGGTTGCTTTTAAATTTTGATAGCACCTGGACTAAACAAAAGTGGCACATCCTGGGGTCTCCAGTTAATAAAGAGACGTGAAGACAGACTCACCAATTTGGAGGCTGATCACCTGTTGTGCTGCTGCATGTAGACTATTTAGATGGCAGGAACCAAGGTTTGAGGGTACCCAGAAGAGGAAATGATGCCAAAATAGAAGGGTTCCTGAAAGGAAAGAGCTGTTCTCTCAAGAAAGAAGGGAGAGATCTTGGCTGGAGGAAAGGTCCTAGAAATGGAGGATGGTCATGGAGATCAGGGAGATGCATGGAAACAATTGCCAGGGACCTTAGCGGCTAACACCTGAGACTGGTAACTGTGAGCACACAACAAAAAGCAAGACAACTTGCTGCCCAACCATCCCAGACAAGCAACGATCTCCCTGCTGGAAAGGCAAGTCAGGACCCAATAAACATAACACTAACAGCTGAACAAGTGAGAGAGTGAGATTATCGATAAGGGTAGAAGTTCTCATCTCAGTGGTTCTTAAATAAACCACATAATCCAGATCCACTACAGGCTGTCAGATGGTGTCAGAAGCAGGATACATATGGCTTATTGAACCTCAAGATCATGGCCTGTTGAGGGAGGCCCTCCAGGAGGAGAAGGGGGACAGGGCATCTCACCAGAGATACAGTGTGCCTGTAACTTCTATGGCTGTGGGAGCAAAACTGATGGGTTGGGATTGTCGAGGCAGCGGGGAGTCTCAGCAGAATTTTAATGTGCCTGTACTTACTATGCTTTTGGGTGCCCCATATTCAGGTCTGCCAACTGGTTGGGGTTTGTCAAAGTGATGGGGGGCCTCCTTCATGGGGGTTTTAGTGAGCTTGTAACCATTGTGCCACTGGGCAACAAACTGATGGGTCTGCTGGCTGGTCAGGGTCCCTCAAACTGGTAGGGGCCTCCACCGAGATCCAACACGCCTGCAACCCTTGTGCCTCGGGGCAGGAAGAGCACGGGTGAAACTTCAATCCAGTCTGAATACTCTAGGAAACATCTTAAACTATTAGGCACAGTTATACCTAGCTTGAAAGTTCCCTGGGCATTTGACTTGACACCCTAATGTAGCAGAAGGCCTATTCTGAGGAGGTGGCTGCCTGTCTCCCTTCCAGATTATAGCCCAATCCCTTTTTAGGTGGACAGGCAGCTATGTTCTGCCTAATCCCCCATGTAGACTGAAATTAGGTTTCAGTCCACAACAGTGGTGATTTCAAATAATCTAATAAGTGGCACCTACCTCTTCTCCCTGGTTCTCCTCCTTCCCTTCCTCCATAAACCGTAAAATGTTTTCAAAGTACCATGTTGGAGGTTTGAGTGGTTAGACCCAAGAAGTGGGCCAAGAAAACCAGACAATGGAGAGCTTGGCTTTAGCCTAACAGTTAAACCATTCACCTGAAAAGAAATGGGATTTTGATCTTTGCTCTGTGGGTTGGGTTTGGTTTTTTTCTTATTTTTACAGACAGAAGCATCTAGGAGCTGGTGTTGCTGCATTTTGTCTTAAGCCTTTCCACACATGCTCTGAGACTACTTTGTGGAAAAGAACTCTTATTTGAAGAGACTTTTAAGTCATATACTTTATTAATATTAAAATACAGTTCTGAATGGTACACAGCTGGCAGACTTTGTATTGTTGACCTGTCAAAAGTCTTAGGGATATAAGCAAAGTGACAGCTGGATTACAGCATCTTCAGCTCCTGGCAAGGAAAAAAACCCAGTATTCAAATCTGCGTATAGTCATTTTGTACTGTGTTACCTATTGGCCATTTCTTTATACCTTATTTTCCTATTCAGTTGAGGCACACATTTTTAAAATTGTGTCTACTTTACCTGTCTTCTATAACAATAGTTTGTAAGCCTTTTTTCTGTGCCTCTATCTAGTTATAGATCCACAGTCATACTGTGAAAGAGAACAAAATTCTGCATTTCTGTTTTGCCACCATCCTGCTTCACGTCATAATTGCTGCTTTTGAAACTGCTGTTCTGCTGGATCTTTGATCAAGTGACATTATGAACAGATAAACACTATATATAATATATGTAGATCCTAGATATAGATGATCTTGAAGACTCATTTGTATGCACAATTCTAGTATATAAAACCATATATTTAAGCATATTATAGAAACATGTATATAGTTCCAGGCTCATTATTTCATTTTATCTTCTAAAGATGAAACATTATGGATTAAAAAATGTAATAATTCATCTTTTGCAGCATGATGAAAATTGTGAAAGGTCCCAAATTGATTTACTTTCACTTATGTCATCAAAGAGTCATGCAGCAGATAAGACTTGCTTCTTTCCTTTTTTAAGTATCCCTTACGCTTGGTCCAACCAAAAAAAAATAATCTGAGAAATCTTTAGGAAAAATCTTTCATGTCAGTATCAAAAGGGATAAGGTAGGACACGATGTCTGATCCACAATCAGTAAATTTAAACTTCCCTATATTCTATAATGATTTTGTGTTGGTGTAAGCAGAATATTCTTCATTAAGGTACTTTTTTTTTTCTTATGCTTTTAATTTGGATGGCTGGGTGGAACAAGTAGGTCTCTATATTAAGGACAGAGCACAGCAAAGAAAGCAAACACACAGCCGTTGAACCCTCACTACTGGCATGAAAATGTGTCATCCTTCATATGACAGTGTTCTCAAAACTATGCAAAGAAATATAAAACAATATGTGTTTCTTTTTCTTAGAAGGTTCATTTTCCATTCTGGGTTAAGCATCATACTTATATTTTGCTGTTAAGTTTTGACAATTTTATAATTTACTGTGGAAATTACTGGTATAATTAATAAAATGCTTGATACAGTAGTTGGTTGAATATCATTGAAGGGTTATAGAAAAAGTTTTCCGCGTTTGTTGCAGTATAGTAAGAAAACAATTTAACCTATCCTATTATTTAAATAGTTTTTATTTCGATTTTTATTATTTAATTTCTCTGCATTTGTAACAAATCCTTCATGAAAGGGCAGGGAAAATATTGAAGTTAAAATCAAAATATGAAAAATGAGAAGATTTAGACAAAAAAAAAAGTATGGAATATATTTATTTTGCTGAAAATATTTAACTGTTCATTAAATATGTAAAACATTTTAAAGGAATTTGCTGGATTAAGTAATGTGCAGGAGTACGGATTCATTGATGCTTTTAAGATACAAATTTGAATAATAAACTAGTGTAGGAAATCATGTAGCCCTTCATAAGCAAAAAAGGTGAGACTCTTATTTAAGATTCAATTTGTACCTGCTACTACCTTCCTTGAAAAAATGTTTGATTTTCAAGACTTGGAATTACTTTGAAATTGAAGAAATAAACCTGTCAGTCTCTGCCATTCTGCCCTGATAAGGTCCAGAAAATAATCTTGATTATTACATTTCAACTTAAAGAAAAATGATTCATTTATTTGATTAAAGAAGCATTCATTAACTTGTACTCTTTAGCATTTTGGGTCAATAGTAATTCAATAGTAAACAATCCAGTGTAAACTCATTTTCATCTGTAATTTTAGATAATCTTTAAAGGAATAGTTATAAAAATGTACAGTTATATTTTTATTAATTGCAGGGCTTACCAGGAGAGCACGGGGTACCAGGAAACCCAGGAGTTAAAGGAGACAAGGTATGTTTTAAGTCTTTTTAATTAAGCTTGATATGTTAGAGCCTATTAGACTGTCATCTCTGAAGTAACCTTCCATCCTTCTGTAGCGCATCTGTGTGGCTGCTTTATCAACCGATTTTAAAATGTACAAGCAGCAATCCCCTGTCTGCTCCTCAGAGATGCTGCAGGCCAATTTGGCAGCCCAGTTGCTCTTTAGATTCATAATTTAAATAATATTTCAAGGAGGCTGCATTGGGCTCTCATATTAAATCTGTGCAGTGCAGAAATGTCAGTTCAGATCCTGACTACGGAACAGCCTTTTCAGTGTGCTGTCCTAACCAGACTAATGTGTAAAATCCCACTTCACAGTCAGACATATTCATCTTGGCAGAGCAGGGGGGCAGCTGTACTCCCTCAGATGCGAGCCAAGGCGATGATCTCTTTATGGCATCGTGTTTTGCTGTGTAGAAGTCCCTTAGAATTCCGCTACATCAGCAAGAGTTAAAAATGGCATATGTGTGTATGTTGAACAGAGGAGGGAAGAAAAGAGGATACACAGGCATACCGTGAGCTATGTGATGTGTTATGTTTTTTATACATTGTGGGGTACAAGGGAAACTAATAAAATCCATTAATGGTTTGAAGAAGTGAGCTGATGAAAAGGCAGGAGAAGAAAATAACTGCAGAGCAATGGCACAAATGTATTCATCTTGCAAAATGGGAAGTGGAGGATTCAGAAAGAATCACAGAGAATGTTGCAGGAGCAGGTAAAAGACAAGAAGACAGTGTAATAAAAGGCACAATTTCACCTGTGTAAGCAGGAGGAGACATAGAGGTGTAGAGCAAGAGACGCTGAGTGCACTGAAGTAAGAACTAGAGGTGTAAACAGGAATACAGTTGAAGACCAGGGTTTTAGCACTAGGGATCGATAGCTGCAGAGACAGTTTGTAGTTGTTACTGTGAATTAATTAGCAGAGTTTAATGACAACCTGCGTATTAGGGGCCTGGGGACAAAGAAATGTAGATCAGACGCATTGCAAGCATGGAAAGCCGAGAGAATGCTAGTTACTGTTAGTGATTATGTGGTCCATACCTCCTCTTCTGCAACTTTTTGAAGGAAAATGGGGGTGGGGGGGGTGTGTTCCCTCTCTGTTTCTTCTCAAAGTACTGTCACTTTCTGGTATTACCTTGATAATATTCAGTTTTTTCATAAGAGAAAATTCTCACATTTCAATTAGTGCTTCAAACTTATCTTGTTAGGGGGACCCTGGTGGGATTATAGGACCACCTGGACATCCGGGTCCAAAAGGTGATGTGGGGCCTCCTGGACCAAGTCTGCCTGGAACACCAGTAAGTCCATAATCTGAACAAGCTTTTATGACTTTATTTCTTGTAGTGACAACTCTTAAAAAATTCTCATTGTGCAGTGAAATAAATCAGAACAAGTATTTTTTGGGATGTAATCTCAAAATTGAAATATATATTGTAGTGGAATTATAAGTGCATTAAAATATAGTCTAGAAATAGTGCAAGGCTGACAGTTGCTCTTGCTGACAATGATATTAACAAGGAAGACATATGTACATCTCTCATAGCTTATGTATAAAGGCTGATTAATTTTGGCAGTAAAATTCAGCTAGTCACTTTGATTTCAAAACATAATTTGGGTTTTTTGTCTGTTTTGTTTTTTTTTTTTTTTAGGGTCCCACTGGTATTCCTGGAAACCCAGGTCCACGGGGACCAAAGGTATAAAAAATATATTTCTGTTTCTAAAAAACAAAAAGGATAATATGCTAGTTTACATTTTTAGACCTGTTGTAACTGAAAGCCTTGTACCCTTCTCAGGGAGAAAGAGGACTACCTGGTGTACAAGGAGCACCTGGGGAGATGGGGCCCCCTGGAATAGGCATTCAGGGATCACCAGTAAGTAAACCAACACCCAGAATTTGAGCTTCTCACTGTGCATCGCTGAGAAACTGCAACAAGTAAACAACGAATAGCAAAAAGCCACGCCATAAACTCCCTTCTGACTTGACTCGCAACTCAGCATCTTTACCTTTATCCAGACCCAGAAAGATCTAGTGCTGAGTGAGAAATGGAAGCCCTGGAGAACTGAAAGAGCCAATGGCTACTTTACAGATGAGCTTCCTGGTGATAGTGTTGAGACATCTATGAGACTCTGGCTGTTTCTAAGCAACAGTTGTTTGAAGTTGTCAGCAAAATCCAGCCTGAGTACTGGTGCAAGAGAAGAGGTGTACTCAACACTGCAGGCAATGGCATTTTGAAATCCATGCTGGTACTGGAAAAGGCAAAGGCACGTGGAAGAGATATGGAAGGCTTTGCATCAGCTCCTAGCTTTTGTATTTGTGATGACTGCTAATTACAAGCTTGGGTCTACTGCTTATCAATGAGAACCTTACAGTGCCGGGTACTATGCCAGGAAATAGCAAAGTCCTGATTTTGCACAGCTTGCTTCACACATTTCTGTGCAGTCTAAATTCAAACATGAAGCAAACTGATGCAGTGTATCTAGAGCATTCGTACTAAATAACATTTACAGCAATAACTACTTCAGTTATTCAGCTCGTTTCCCAGGTTTGTTTCTTTCTATTGCCTTTAAATAAAGCCATCTGCAGTGTCTTCAGAGTATTCAGTAAAAAAAAATTGATGGTATTGATGGTGTAGATGATAGGTGGTGCAAGTTATCACGAGTTCTACTGTGCTGAATAGCGCAATCTCTCCAGTCCAGACCAATATAAGTCAGCTGATACATTTCAATTTAATGACAGGACTCGGGTACAGAGAGAAAATGTTTGAGAAAGGTGACTAGAGATTCACACTAAGATCTTAATATAAGATAATAATACTTAAAAATAATTTATTCAGTTAAAATATTTTCAAATCTGAATTTTAAAATTTAACCATTTATATTTAAGTAATTTAATTTTTTTTTATTCAGCTGAATATCAGCGTTTCTTATGAATCTCCTAATTAAAGAGAATGTTTTTCCACAGATTATTATTCTTTGGTATTACTTTCCCTTAAAAATGGGCCTCAGCAAAATCTCAAATTTTCTAATTCTGGCAAAATTACATTTGGATTTAAAGCCAAACCTTAGAGCAAGTCTTTCTTGCAATGTGAACTGCACCAATATCCCACATGCAGTATTTTTTATTAAGTTCATCTCACTTATCCCAAAAAGTGTAACTACTGATTATTTGGAGTTTTCTTGCAGGGCCCTATAGGACCAACTGGATCAGCAGGTGTGCAGGTAGGATATAAGTTTTCCCTTTAATATAAAAAACATTAATTAAGTTTAAGAAGTTTACAGTGAAATAAAAATATTCTTAAATCCTAAATGACCTTTCCTGCTCTTAGGGCCCTAGGGGACCCCCAGGATTACCAGGAACTCCAGGTACCCCTGGTATTAATGTAAGTGACAGTTCTCTATATATACAGCAAAAGTAATGCATCTCTCGTCAATGATTTAAGGCCATCAAATGCTATGTTTTTTTTTCTAGGGAAGCCCAGGAAGAGATGGAAAGCCAGGACTACCAGGCCCTCCAGGTGATCCTGTACGTATACGTAGAAAGCTTGTGCATTTTCTTTGGTGCAAATATTTTAAATTTAAAAGAGGTGAGATAACCTAGCAAGTCTAGAAGTCCAATTGATTAAATTAATTTTATTTTTCAATTATTATATTCTCTGGGTTTTATTTTCTACTTGACAGTATTGCAGTATATATTCAACTTAGGTTAATGCATACAGGATTAACATCTTCATCAATGACTTAGACAGCGAGATCGAGTGCACCCTCAGCAAGTTTGCGGATGATACCAAGCTGAGTGGTGCGGTTGACACACCAGAAGGAAGGGATGTCATCCAAAGAGACCTGGACAGGCTAGAGAGGTGGGCCTGTGTGAACCTCATGAGGTTCAACAAGGCCAAGTGCAAGGTCCTGCACCTGGGTTGGGGTAACCCCCAGTATCAATACAGGCTGGGGGAAGAAAGGATCGAGAGCAGCCCTGCCGAGAGGGACCTGGGGGTACTGATGGATGAAAAGCTAGACATGAGCCGGCAATGTGCGCTGGCCCTCTCCTATGAGGACAGGCTGAGGGAGTTGGGCTTGTTCAGCCTGGAGAAAAGAAGGCTGCGGGGAGACCTGATTGCGGCCTTCCAGTACCTAAAGGGGGCCTATAGGAAAGATGGGGAACGTCTTTTTAGTAGGGCCAGCTGTGTTAGGACAAGGGGAAATGGTTTTAAATTAGAACAGGGTAGGTTCAGGCTAGAGGTAAGGAAGAAATTTTTTACAATGAGGGTGGTAAAACCCTGGAACAGGTTGCCCAGAGAGGTAGTGGAGGCCCCATCCCTGGGAACATTCAAGGCCAGGTTGGATGGGGCTCTGAGCAACCTGATCTAGTTAGCAGTGTCCCTGCTCACTGCAGGGGGGTTGGACTAGATGACCACTAGTGGTCCCTTCCAACCCTAAACATTCTATGATTCTATGATTCTATGATAGGATAAATACCTTGTTTTCAGGTGTTACAGTTTGTATGGTAGAGTGTCTGCCAGGCTGTAACTTGGCGTAGTGTTCCTCAGCCTCAGAAGCAGTTCTGTATAATGCAAATTTTCTGGAGCATACTTTGATAATTCCCATTAAAAGATTGAAGAGAAAGTTTGGGGATTCTAATTCTATGAAGCTAATTTTGCTATGCCGCTGAAAAAAGACATTAATTTTTAATGAAATTCTGAGAATAGTTAGTCTCTAATGCAATAAATTCCCTTTAGCAGTAATGAAAAGTTAAGTGGCTTGGTTTGAAAACAGTTTTGTTTTGTTTGTGTTTTACTAAATAAATTCTGATCCTTCACCACACTTTAGGAGTTATTATCTCCTCTTGGGTATATATTTCAGCAATGATTTGCATTTAACAATGCTATAGCTTTACAGATTTTGTGAAGTCTAGCACTACAAGATCCAAAAAGCCTGTACATGCCTCAGACCAAACTGTACCCTTAAAGATAATCAAGTGTTTTACATGGGAGTCAGGAGAGTCCAATGTGTGTACCTGAAAAATTGGCATAAATGCAAAACTTTAATCATAATTCCTGTTCCTGTCTGGAGTCCCAACAACTACCTCAGAACTTTCAAAAAGCAAATTTCTCTTTAGAAGCAAATGCTTACCAGGCTTTTATGAAGGCAAATGAAGATTTCTTAATTCCCTGAGTGATTTTTTGATGTAAATAAAATATAATTATATAAATAAAATTTTTAAAAAATCTGTAGATGGTTGGAAGAAACAAACCAAAACCAGAGCTTAAAAAAAAAGTGTTAAACTCACCTGCGATCCTATTGGTTTTATAGGATTTGATACTTCCCAAGATATTTTAGTCAAAGGCACAGTTTTCAAAACAACCAGGAGACACAGTGATAGCAGTATTTATTTGAGACATATCAAAATGAAGGAAAATAAAAATTACAAAACCTAACATTTGAACTGTATTATGTCCTTTAGCAAAATCTCTGCTCCTTACCAAGGCATGAATTTGGCTTTTTCACTGAGTGAGTAGAGTATCTCAGCGCTCTCAGTCTGTTCATCTCTTAAACTAGCAATTCTTCACATACCAGGCCATCACACATACTCCTCAGATGCAGAGAATTACGTTGTGTCTTTATGAGTGAGGTCCATCTCCAAGTATCCAGCAATGCAAATCTAAGGCAGCATTTCCCAAACTAGTCTGCAGAATGCTGATTTAGGCAGAAAAATATATTGTGCTTTCAATTAAACATTTGATGGTACAGGCGCATGACAGTCCACAAGTCAGCCTGAGGATTGACAGCAAGGAGCTTATGGAGGGATAAACTAGTCCCAAAATCACACAAAAATTTTATCTTGAAGAGAATAGTCAGTATGCACTGTTGTTTATCAAGGCTCAGGACAGTGATTCTGATCGGTTGGTTCCTTGGTTCCCACATTAGTGAACTGGTTCAGTGCTTTAAGAGACACTTAAGAGTGTTAGTAGCTCCTCAAAGGCCTAAAACCAGTATGTAAAAGCAGGTCTATCACTGGCATTGAGTATGAAGGTAGAGCTCAAGTCAGAGTCACAAAGATTGAGATATAAAATGAGCTTTGGTTAGGAACGGATGTAAAAGCAACAAGCAAAAGGCGCTGTGAATACAATTATTTGAAAGACCAGTAAAGGCCATTATTTAATAATAATGGAGAGCAAATTATAGATTATGCAGAGAAAGCTGAATAATTCAGTGCCTTTTGACTGTCCACTGAAAAAAATTCTTTTCATAGAATACATAAATGAATTTGAATTAATTTAATTGAAAAAAGAATTAGTTAAAGCGGTTTTAGATACGGCATGAAGATCTGGTGTAATTCACCTAAAGAATGAACCAAAGCAGTCTCTAAATGATTAGCAGTTACCTTTGAGTACTTTGAGAAAGATCCAGCTTTTGAGGAAGGGAGAGATGCTGACAGAAAACATATCCCAGTGATATGAATGATGAAGTGGAAACACAGGATGGCATAATTTTGTTAAGAACCAGTCATGGCATAACTCAGATTTCATTCTTTAGAAGGTTACCTTTCTTCGGAAAGACAGGGAAACAGTCATGTTGTATAGCTTGGCTTCAATAAAACTTTGAGCCTGTCTTCATGATGTTTTTATAAGCAAGCAAAAAATGCTCTTGAAGTAATTGCCATATAGATAATGATTATCAAAAAATATGGATAGAAATGTCTATGAGCAGATTACTGTCAAACTTGGAAAGAGAGGTCAGTCTCTCCCATGCCCGGTTCTTGTCAGTGATTTAATTTGATTAGGAAGAGTAGACATAAACTGTGCAATTGGACTGGGAAAGATTGCTAGCTTTTTGAAGATACAATAAAAACTTAAAATTCAGAGACAGTCTGAAGTCAACAAGATTAAACTCGAGACAGATAAGCATAAAGTGCTTAATAAGAAAAAACAAAATCCGCAAGTGGAATAGGTCTGGAAGGCACAGTGCACTGTAAACTAAATGCAAGTGAAAAATTTGATGCCACTGCTAAACAGACAGGTCTAAATGGTGAGACTTACTAACAGGAGAATTATTGCCTTCTGCACTCTTGAAATACTGTTCTCTTTGGAGAGAATATTTTTAAGGGAAGAGGTAGCAAGCAGGAGTGAGTCCAAAGAATTAAGGCTATTTTAACATTGTCAAAAGCCTGCCATGTATCATACATTTATTCAGAGTTCAGTGTACACAGCTGTGACTCTATAGTATGCATGCCGCTAGGCTGGATTTGCTGTACCTACAGAGCAGACAAACTGTATGGCACAAACGTGGTAGGCTCGTTCTCATACCTGGTGTGCCCCTGCAGCTGGATCTTAGGACCCTTTCACCCTGAGTGTTTGGGGGCCTGTACCATAAGGTGATATTGCAGCTAAAATAAGACCATAAGAAAAGAGGAGAGACTGGGGAAATTACACTTGTGTAGCCCACCAGAAAGACCAACAGCTGACATCTGCTTATCTGTAAAACGTCGTCACAAGGAGAAGGATGAAAAATCAGGCCGTGTAGGGGTGTGGTGGTCGTTTTTAAGACTTTTTACAGGTTTTTATGAGCAGGTGTCCATGTACAGTTTACCTTTGTGCAGAGTATGTCCTTAAGCTGTGTTAGGTGGCTATGTGTCATCCTAGAAAACTTCTCAGCATGCTTTCAAAGGTGGTGATGCTACCCTGTAAATGTTGTACTCCTGGTTACACTTATAGTTAAGTACATTCAGCAGTGCTCCTCTTGAGCTGGTATTTGGCACCTGTTGCTACCAACCAACAGTTTTTCTAACGTGCTACAGAAGTACATTTTATTTTTCTTCTTCAAGATGGAAATGATTGAAACAGGCTGAACCAAAAACAGTGATAGATTTTGAATGTGTCCAATTTCGTGGTATGCCCAGAGATATTTCTGCTTTAGCAATTGCAAGAAGAAGAAATGAGCATTGGTAATTGAAGAGTCCGTTTGTGAGTGAAGCCGATGATAACCAGTCCAATCAGTTTTTACAGGGAGTCTTTAAATATAAGTTTAATGACAGCACTTGGAAATCTGAAATATATTGCTGTACAGTGTAAACCTATTTGTTGAGCTTTAAATGGGTCAGCTTTAGCATTGGCAGCAATTTAGCCACGGCACCACAGAGTTTTGCACTAATTCTTGATGTTTAAAGGCAGGACAAAATACTATGTAAGTTGCTTGTGTTGCTGTAGCTAAATTAGTTCCGGTATCTGAGCTAGCTTACTGAAGTTAGCTTTGGCATCTCCATGATTCATGCTAGTTCACAGTAGAGTCAAAGCCTAGGATAAAGCAGAAGGAAAACAACTGGAGATAATCAGGTGAGAACAGTCTGTGAGACTTTCCAATAGCGATAAGTTGTTGCTGGTATGTTACAAAAACAACAATATATTCTTAATATTTTAAAGTGCAATTTACTGTGTTCTGGAGCTATGCTGTTGCCATGGTTTAAGCAACTTCACTGAAATTGTGACAAAGAATTATGTTGTTAGGTTGGATGGACAGCAATATTTAACATTTAAAAACTATATTTGAAACCCTGATTTTTCTTTAGAGTTTTCATTAAAAAATAGCTTGAGCCAGTATATATATAATGGTATGTATGTAACAATACAAACTTTAGAAGCAGTGAGAACCCATCAGAATCAGTAGTGTGTGTGTAAAACATTAACTGCAACTGCTTTTTTTAATATCAGATTGCACTGCCACTTGTGGGAGACATGGGTGCTATACTGAAGGTAAACATTGCCAGAGGTTAAGTATCTTTGTTTACTATGAGCATGCTTTTTCAACCAAAATATGCACTTGAAAGTTTCTGTAGGATCAATTCTGAACTATTTGGCTAGCCTAATTTGTTTTTAAAAAATACTCAAGAAATTTATTTTATGGGAATTTTGCAAAATAGCATTTGAACAGTATGTGAGGCAGTAGCCAGCAAGTGCTGGTTCAGTACATCCAGCCCACAGTACGAATTGCTACAAGTATACCCCATTCTGTGCTTTACTTTGGTGCGTTAATATTGGTAATATACTGAATGGGGAAAATAGTCTAGAATTTCTAAGGTATTATTTTGAAAAATAATAAAATTTGAAGTGATCTGCTGTATTCCAAAATTAAAAGTGTGCTCAGGAGGCTTTCTATATGAAAAACACACATAATTCCTGAGGAGAGAGATTATCCTAATCTACTGTCCTGTATTAATACATGTGCTTAGGGTTTATTGACTTTCTCATTCCCAAATTTGATTTATTTTAGCTCTGTCTTTGGGCTTTTCCCTGATTCTTTCTGTTTGTAACTGTATTTTCTTTGTCCTGTATGTGCTCTTCTACCTCTTTGTCAATTCTCTCTCTTACCAATTCTTTATACTTCATTCTTCATTTCTCTCTGTTTTGTGATTACAACTTCTATAATATTATAATTTAGATAGAAAATGCTTCTCTTAACGAAGCAGGAATCATTTAGTTTAACTGTAGATTTGAAGCTGACGAGAATAACAAGCAGCCTCCATCTCTACCTAATCCTTAAAAGGAAGGTGCTCAAACCTAAAGACAGGTGTCTCTGGGACTATCCAAAATGAAGGCATTTATGAGTCCTCTCAAAATGAAGGCAAAAATTTGTTAGCCTGGTTTGAGTAGAGTATATGAGAGATGGGGAGGGAAGCAAGGAAGGATATCTAAATAACTATTTTGTGTAGAAGAGAGAAAGGACTGAAGAGAAGGCTTTGGGGTAAAATGAAGGGATGGTCACAAAGGGAGGAAGGAAGCAGTCTGCATAGATCAGACCTTCTGCCCATGTCACAAAATGGTTATTTATCACTTCGCTTTGTGTCTGTTCCTCAGGGTGATCCTGGCACAAGAGGTCCTCCAGGCATCCCTGGTAGAGAAGGGCCAAAGGTAGGTTTTAAAGAGAGTACTTTACATTGCTTTGTTGCTTGTTAAAAGTAAAAGGACATACTCTTACCGCTGACTGTCTCGACTTTTTTGTCTGATCCCTATCCCTGTAGCATCTGAGCAACCTAAAGATTCTAAAGTTTTTACAGTTCAGCCCTATTCCTGTGTCAGTTTGCCTTTCCTCTCAGGAAAGTGAGCGAAATAGCCCAAGTTGAATCCCAAGCCAGAACAGCTCTTTTGTGTCTTGTGTCCATTAAAGCTAGCTCAGATTTGAATGTCCAGTAGTGTATCGCCATCTATAGGCTTATTTTAGGTGAGTCAGTCACACAAGAATCCCACGATGAAGAAGGAAACTTCCTCTGTCTCCCTCAAATGTGCAACAGCTGGACCACACTGTGCCTTTGCACCTTGTTCCCGTGGGAGTAATGCAGCCGTTTCACTGGGACTTGAAGTTTCGTTGATATCCATCAAACTTCTCCTTCTCTGTAATTGGATCAAATGCCACGTGGTTTGGTATGCAGATATCCCCTATAATTGTGTGTAATTCCATGAAAGTGTACTTTCTCCATTTTGGCAAGCATTTAAGCTCTTTGGTATTAATAAGATGTCTCCATCAGGCCTTTTGGCTAGTTGCCTACTACGTAAAACCCACTCATTTCCTTTCCCCTTGACAGGAGGTGTATTTTAAAGCTTTCAGGTGGTATTGAGTCTTTTTTCCTGTTTTAGCTACTAGTGCTGTAAAGGCTTCACGCTAGCATGTAGTGAATATGGGTCATAAAATGCCCTACAGAGCATGAAATATTGTTCTCTAATAGAAAGTATTTGTTCGAATGTTACGTTTTCATAGGGAAGCAAAGGTGAACGTGGATTTCCTGGGCTTGCTGGAGAGAAGGGCGATGAGGTAAAATTAATTCCTTTCTATAGTGGTTGCATTCTTATCTGAACCTGAATAAAGATGTAGGCCAAGAATGAAATGCACAGAATGTTATTCGGTTCTTTAAAATTACTGAGAGTAATGTATTACTATAAATAGCCCTCAATTCTGAATTTTCAATGAGATTAAATGCTATTATTCAATTAAATAACATCTATTTGATTTTTCTCTGAGGATTTTTTCTCATTTGTATATCTTAAAGCCTCACATACATTTAATGCTAATTTGTAAGAGTATAGGATAGAGCAATAAATAGGCAAATGCCAAATATTTTTTAAAAATACTTCACGTTTTGTAACGTATTTGTTTTCACTGTGTTAGTTCCGCTTTAGAATTCACCTTTCAAAAATATTCCATTAGGCAAATACTCTGATGGGGAATGGTCATAGCAGCAATTACTATTTAGTGGAAACTGGAAAATGTTTGAAGAGAGTCAATTTAAAATATTTACAGTATTTTGCATCATATACTCCATTCTTAGAGTTATCTTATGTCATTATGGAGAAGAAAAAAAAAGCTGTGTGGCTTGTGGTGCCGAATCCAAAATAGCTGCTATAGCTTTCATTTAAATTTAAATATTTGTAGTTTACAGTTCAAGAGCAGTCTCTGTCAAAAAAAAAAAAAAAAAATCACCAAAGCAGAAGCTATTGAGCAAATGAATCTGAGTAAATAAACAAATTTCCTAGGGACCTTAGCCAACTGAAGGAGTTAAAATAAGCTGTCTATTACAAAATATTTGGTGAACACTTCAAAATTCCAAAATATTTAACTGGCACTGTTAAATACATACTACTCTTTTGTAATATGGGAGTGCTGGCTACAAGAGAAAGCACCTGGAAAATATTAAAGGAATTTAGAGGTTAGTGATTGAGGGGTTTGTAATTCTTTATGAGCATTTTACATTTCTTTGGTTCTAAGGCCATAATACAGTAAGAATTTTCAAACACTGGTAGAATGAGAATAATTTTCAAAAAAATCTGTGTTCTTCAGGATCCTTGGCCTCAAAAAGTAAACAATTATAGGAGGGGGAAGAAATAGATGCAGCAGAAGCATTAGATATATATTCCTGCTACTGCTTTACCACAGAATTTAGCAGATTGTCAGACTAAGGTATCATGCTTATTTTTCCTCTTGTTTTTACACAATCTACAGAGCTCATTATGTCTTTGCTTCTTAAAAACAAGTGCCTCCTAAGGTTGGATTTAGAACATATACCTTAAAATGATGGAGCAGCCATAAGCAAAGCCCAAGCAGAATTTGACTTAAAAAATAAATGGGAATGTAACACATCCTTCATGAGCTCTATAGGGTACCTCCACAATTCAGTCCTAGCAGTGTGAGGCATTAGCAAAAGGTCTTCAACAATTCAGATATGATTTAACTGCTGAGAATCAAGTGAGATTATTAGAGGCAATTAATAAGGTAGTAAGGAAAAGGCAAGATTGTAACTGGCAGTTAGGTTTTTTTAAAGGACTCCAGAGTAAATTAATTATAAAGGGTTTTTTATTGATTCAGTAGGGTGCTGTGCTCTGTTAGTAAGTTAGCTATTCACACGCTTTTTCACTGTTTGGTAGCTGGTTAGCTGCCTTAGCCATGATATTATCAGCGTTTAGCAGCACCTTTGATTATGACATTATGAGGGTGCAAGTGAATTTATTTTCAGAAACACATATAAAAGAGTTTACAAAGTTTATAAGTAAATTTTTTTTGCAAATTTACAAATTTTAGAAGAATGCATTTATTTTTGTTTTTTATTATTTGGTTAGCATGGGAATGGGAAGAGAGAGTGGGAAGCCCACCTGAAGCTCTTTGAAATATGCTCATTAACTTCCATGTGCTTTTGAATAGCCCTTTAATCATTGTTGAAGCTTAGTTCTCTGCCTTTTTAAAAGATTCCTTTTTTTCAGGGGAGGACATTTCTAACATCAGTAATAAGAATTACAGAAAGTGTTCCTTTGGCTTCACATTCACACATTCATTTTCCAGGTGACTGTACTGTCAGAGTAAAGTAATTCAAAATGAGCAGAGAACCCATTAGCAGTTGGATTGCCACTCTGAAAATCTGCACAGGTGGATCAATGTCCTCTGTGTGTAGGAGCAAAAAAGGGAAATCCACATCTCTCTCCATCTCCACATTTTTCCTGATTTATTTCTGCCCAAAGTTTTTCCCTCAGTCTCTCCCTCAGAGCCCCTGTTTCAGGGCTCCTGACCTCTGTGGTTTTCTAGACTAGCCTCTTAGCCATGCCTTCTTAAACACTGCATTTAACACGAGGAATACGCCTTTTCTGAGGTGATTCCTCTTCTCAGATGGTAGACACCCTGCACGGACAAAATTCATCACTGCTGGGAGGGACCTGTTTCCCTTCGTGGATTATAGGGGGAAGCGAGAGCCATTAGCTCTCATTAGTACATGACTTTTGCTTGTCTAAAATTGCACCTAAGACTCTGGTGTGGCAGAGGAAAGGTGACGTGCAGGCTTGTCTCAAATCCAACTTGCATCCATGGTAGTAAGTTGCACACCTGTATGTTTGGTAAGGGGGTACCAGAATTCATTGTTTTCCAGACAATCAAATAGAATAAGAGCAGGAAAGTAGGCCACTATGAAAAATGTCATGTTCTATTGTCAAAAAAGCAAGCTCTATAAATGAGGCAGAAAGCATCACTGCATTTAAAGACCATCAGGTAATATTGAGAAGTCTGAGCAGATGTCTTCTCACAAGCAAAAAAACCTTTTAGTGATAGAAAATAGAAAATTAATCTCTATGGAAAAGCCAGAAGTCCTGCTCTTATCTACACAACTAAAGACAAAAAGATATACAGGGCATAAGCTAACAATGTGAAAGGTTGCAGGACAAGTGGTGTTTATCAATCAAGCAAGAAGTTGCCTCTAACCTTGTTCAATGATAATCTCTTCCCTGCAGGGTGTGTGGTTTGGTTTTTTTTTATTCCTAAAAATAATACCAACCTTTTAGATGAAAATGTGCTTTAATATAGTTATAATACTGCTGGACATGCTGAATATAAGTAGTTTTTGAGGTACAAGTGGGAGAGGAAATAGGCATATGCTCTTGTATTTTCCAGGGCCTTCAAGGTGCTCCTGGACTGCCAGGCATACCAGGACCCAGTGGACCATCTGTAAGTGTGCGGCATCACCTGTGATCTGATCTAGCTCTGCAGAGGTTGCTGTAACTATCTAGTAAAACTTCATATTCTTTCTTTCTTGTCCTTTTTTTGGCTTTTAGGAGAGTAATAACAAAATCTTATCTGCACTGTCTCTAATAAAAGAAACTACGTTGTGAGTTGAGGTTAACGAAAATACTGTCATTGTCTGGGCTCAAAGTTTACATAACTTAAATGGGTTAGGATTTTTGGCATGACTGTGAGATTACATGACTTATGATGTGCATACTTGCAGTTAATTGTGTATTTGTACCCAAGTTACAGTAATAATGTTAGTAATAAAAATTTAAAAATAATTCCAGCTAGGCTTTCTGAAAACATTTAGTGCTGAAACCAGGTAATTACTTTGTTTCACATTAAAAAAAGTATGCCAATAAGCTGACAATATTTAAAGTCACTGAAAAATATCATTTAAAATGTTCATAATTCTGGGAAACTCCTCTTGGATTTTTTTTTCAATTTTATTTTCTACATACTGGATGGGATCACATTAGTATGATCATTATTCATTCCTAGGTTGCTGACAGTACTAATGCTTCCCTTCTTTCAAAAATTGTACTACATTTAGAAAGTTTAATGTGGAATATGTAAATTGGCATTTTAGCAGTAAAGCATGATTCTTAGCAGTATCAAAAGGTGCCAGTTAAGGTCAGTGCATTTAGTCTGCCAAGGTGAAAATGTAACCATAAACACAAGTTTTACCCTTCAAGGGGCTTATCAGAAGGACACAGCTGTTGTATCAAGCAGAAGAGAAATATTTAAACCTGGAAGAGAAGCATAATTAGGTTTAAATGACCTTCAAAAGTACAAGTTTTAAAAACTAAGATGCAATGCAAAAATACCATGTTTCATTGTTTCTCAACTAATATAAACTAATACTGTGTTGTGCAGGGAGTCACAGGAAGACCTGGACATCCTGGTCCAGCAGGGTCAAAAGGCGAAAAGGTATTCTTTCTTTTTAGTCTTGGTAAAAACCTGTGAAGGTTTTGCAATCCCATTACGCTCCTATGTTTTGGGGGTTTTTTTAACATAGAGTGCGAACAAGAACTGGATGTCCATTTTTGAATTAATTTTTATTTGTGTCTTAATACAATTATTTTCCAAAAAAAATGCCATACATGTGGGCTTATATTTCAAAGCATAGTCCTTATGGTGTATGTAAGTCGCAGAGAATGTTCTCTAAGTATGTCATATTATATAAAATTTAGGAAAGTGAAAATACATTGTGAAATAGTATATGACTAGGTACTACTTGCTCTACTTCTCATTCTTTTCCCAGTATTTTAGTCAAAAGTAATTGCATACTTTTAGTGCTTCACAATACTGAAAGTTATCGAGTATAAGTTATTCTGCAAAAATATATAAGCTTCCTTTATACTTAATTTACACTGTTACAGCACTGCTTTTTATCCATGCTTTATGTGCTCTTTTATCAGGTACTCAATATTATCCATTATAACTAAGGTTAAATTCATTTCCTGGGCACCTCAGATCAGTGAAATACAACAGACACAAACTTATTTTGCTGCAAAATACTTTCTGGGGCAAGTTCTCCATTTTGTATATGAACACACTTTTCTGAAGACTTTTTCAGCTTTAGTCTGGAGTTCTCCAGCCGTAGCACTGCCACATCAACGTATGTGGCCCTCTAATACTCTACAAAACATTGACTCTAGTATGAGTAAGAAACGGAACTATTTTGCAAAGCTCTGAAATAATTTGAGTATAAAAATTGATTGAGAGCTGTCTCCTTGCAGACCATAATAGCAAAATTTACCACGCTTATCTCCTTTTTATATAACCGGATACAAAACACAATTCTGTGTTAGTTCCTTGTTTACAGGGATGGGAATGAGAAGCCACTGCTCTGTAACTAGTGTCTCATCAATCAAAAAGGGCAAAAGTCAGGTGGCTGAAAAGTGAAGAAGTAAACTGAAATATAGCCAGAGTAGTTTCCTCCACCCTCCTTCATCTGGGGAACATATTTGAGAAATGATTATATAATATGCTTTCTGAAGTATAGTATTTTTATTCCCTGTGAAGTACTCCAAATCACTTTCTGGAGGCTGACAGTTTCTATCAATTAGAAGGACCATTTGGAAATTATCCTAGTATAAACATTTAATTACAGTTGTTGCCATTGAACACTGAGCTTGACTTTTGCCACCTTAATAATTTTAAATATGCAGCCTAAGTGTCTCACTGACATATCTTTAATAAGATCGAACAACGTTAGTGAAAAATTCTGGCAGCTTTTAACTGAATCATAGTGATGAGATTATGAAAAGATCTTGTTTGGGAAAGTTGATGTTAAAACCTTTGTAACTCTGTAGTGTTCAGAGGCCCCACCAGTCTGCTGGGGCAAAAACTCAGAAGCTTTTTTTTTTAAATATAAGCAATTCAGTGCACGTCAGCAGAACAGACTACAGATACAGGTAACCACAGATGAATATTTTACAGTAAAAACCAAAAAGATATTCACTATATCCCTTAATAAAGAAGATCTTTATTCTTATTCAGTGTGTTTCTAAATAAGCCGAACTTCGGAAACTGTAGCGCTTTTTTATTTACCTATGAATTACCAACTGAGGATTGGTTTTTGCAAAATAATATACAAAGCATAAAATGAATGTTAACTTTTATCAGCCAGTCACTTAGAAATTGATATTAACAATTCTTTCTTTTCTTCCTTTCCCTCCTGGTATATATGAAGTGTTTCACAATCCAGGTTACCACTACTTTGCCACAAGGAAATTACTACACATAAAGCATCAAGTGCTTTTTTGAATGAAAAACTAGTATAAAGTAATGATTAATAACTTGCCTAAAGCTTAAGCAGGGGCTGGGCAGGAAAATTTATTCTTTATATTACCTGCTCATATTGACTGTATCTCTTGTTTATTGTTGTTATGGTCATCATAGCTTGGGTATGGAATAGAACTGGACATCAGTCACAGTAAATGCGTTATATGAATCTCTTGCTCTACTAGGGTAGTGAAGGTTCTCCTGGGAAACCTGGACCACCTGGGCCTCCGGTGAGACATTTGTTTTATATTTTGACTGTTATATTAGGAAGAATATACCTGTGAGTAAAATGTAATATAAAGAATTGACTGTCAATCTAATACGTATTAATAGTGCAGGAACACAACAATGTCTTTTTGCAAAAGGTTTCTGTATTCCTTTTTTTTTTCTTGTGATTCAACACTGAGTAAGTTTAGGTCACTAAAGCCATCCTAGAAACTTGGTTAAATGAGTTAACCTTGGTGCCCAATGTTTAATCAGAGTACCTGAGATCAGGAAACTTGGGGAACCTAGGGAAAGTGTGTGGAGCTCACTGGTCTCCAAATTAACTGGAATAGTACCTAACACAAAATTAATTATGAAGAATTACAATAACAACAAATATCAAAATGTAACATACACTGAGATTTACAGGTCCCAAAAAAAGTCCCAAGCTGCATTGGTATGTATCTTATGTTCTTACTGAAATGTCTGGAAACTTTGAAAAATTGATTGAGAACAAAAATTATACCCCAGATGTGCTGAGCTATGGGGCTTGAACAGGGCAAGAGTTCTGCGTTTATAATTCATAGTTGTGACACTTTTGGTTTTTATGTTTTAAAGGGTATGCCTTACAATGAAAGAAATGGAATGAGCAGCTTATATAAACTCCAGGTATTTCTCTTTAATGTTAATTTTTTTTTCAATCAAAATCTAATTTTGACCCAACTCAACTTTTAAACTTGCTGTTTCAGGGAGGTGTGAGTGTCGCTAGTTATCCTGGTCCACCAGGACCTCCAGTAAGTATTAACAGAAACGTAATTTAATTTCAAATAGTTAATTAACATAGTAACAGAGAGGTTGGTCAGTTGCATGCAGTTTTGGTAAGTGGCCTGGAATTTGATTTTATATGTGAAAGATAGAAAAAATAAGGATATGATTGGTATGTAGTAAATTATAAAGTATGTGATTTTACGTGTTTATCAAGCATTTTAGCTCATTTTGGGGAATAGTTTATTTTCATTTAAGTATTTCACCCTAGCAAGTAAAGGGTGCAAAAATGGTACATAATTTGGTATCGGACTCTATAGTGAAAGTATCTTAATATCTTCAAATGTGTAATATACTATTTATAGTTACTGATAGCATCATTTTGTAGCAGATTACGTTTGGTGCTGGAAATTAGAAGCTCAGTAATTCTTATCTCAGTTTTGTCACTGATTCACTGCGTGTAGCTATAGCGCAGAAGAATATGTAAAACCAAGAATTTTATTGTGGCAGTAACACAAGGCTGGTGTCTTCCACACTGCACAGTGCAGATGCACCACCTTGCAGCTGGACACTGTTGCTTTGGTTCTGTGGAGCCAAAGATGCCGTGCAGTTATTAAGGTCCTCCTTCTTGTTAGCATCATAAGCAAGTTCTACTGTTTTATTATTGTCTTTCTTGTAACCACATAAAAATATTGTAGCAATCAGTGAGGACTTTGTCCTTGCATTGTGTGCTGCTTGTAGTCACGAGCTTGCACCAGACCTAGTGCAGCAAAACAAAAATTAAATATTACTAAAATTTTATACTAAATTAATCAGCTGAGAGGGCTGGACTTAATACTGATTCTAAATACACTGCAATAGGGAAGTATATTCATAATGCAGTAATACAAAAAATACCATCTTATTGTGTAACTCTGTTCTTTTCTTAAATGTGTTTCCACTACTTTATTTCTTTGCAGGGTCCAAAAGGAGATCCTGGCACAGCGGTATGTATGTATTTTTTTATCATGATAGAGAATTCCCCAAGTAGTTCAAAACATGATTCTAGTCACAAGAGTGGAAGAGTCCATTAACATTCTTTAGCAGGTAGCTTACCTCCTGCAGAATCAGTACATCTGAAAAAGTCTTTTTAATTGTCAGGCTTGTGATTTTTCAATTTCTGGTAAATAGTTCTAAGTGATAATATAAGGAATGACTGAACATAGTATTAACTGCTTGTGGATTCATCTTTGTTGAGCTATCCCTGGATATATCTAAGAACAGAGAATGTGAAATAAAGGTAGAAAATACTTTAAGAGCTATTAGATTGTCCTTAACATTAAACATGAAAGTGATAAGGACAAAAGGACAGTGTGCTACATCATGCTCGCTAGCGACAACTGGCAGTTGATGTTTTCTTTGGAAATGGCATGATGGTTAGTTATAGTATGATTACCTTGCTTCTGGTGAGCAAGATGATGATGATCATGGGAGCCACTGTACATTTCAGCTATGCAGCTTGACATTCAAAAGCAGGTCTATTTAAGTCTTTGATTATTTTTTTTTCCTTTAAGCATTGTGTTATGCCCTTTTCATGTGATCTTTCTTTAAAAATTCTGAGGGGAAGGACAACTAGTGGAAGAATCTTGAGCAGTTGCATAGGGCTAGCCGCCAGCAGAATGTAGATCCAAACCCTGATGGGGTGCACGTTTTTCCCAAAGTCCTTGACATGTGGTGTGACTTGCCTTTGTAATAGAGAAACTATATTTATTGTTAGCTTGCGATTTGTCACTACAGTTCCTAGGCTTGAAGGTGGCAAAGTTAAAACTTACAGGTATTGCATTTTGATGACTGGACATCAGTGAAAATACTCAAAAGGTAATAGTAAAATTTGAGTACTGATGGTTTACCTAGAAAGTATGGTAGTGTCAAATGGCATTTTAAATGGATATTGTTTTAAAAATTGGATAGGTGCTTCCACAGTGAAACAGATACTGCCTTTTCATGGTCCATGTGGTAGAACTGTGTCCAGCAGACCTCTTTCAGACTTCAGGCAGTGTGACTGAATCAGGATGAGTACCATGTGTCAGCTAATGAAAACTGATGAGAAGAATTTGCTGATAAAAGCAGTAGAAGCTGAGCTAGTTAGGAAAGAAAATTGTGCCCAGTTGGACTGCACTCCCCATGACCTGCTGATGAATTGTCTACTTGATAAAGATCAAGAAACCCTGAAAAATACTGGAGATCATTTTTGAAACAAGTCACATCCCTTCCAGCAAAGTAAAGAACAGCTGTGTCTGCTACTAATGAAACAAATTACTACTTCAGAGAAATACTTAGAGAGTTCCTTAACACATTCAGGAGTTTGTTCAACCACCAAGAAGCTGACACTTGACCTCTCCAGCTGCTGTCCTGTCTTTGAATTGTTAGTCTTGGGCAAAATAAATAAGGAGATAGTTCAGCCAACATCTTGGATGCCTGGTAGTAAAGAATCAGGTCAGAGCACAACATATGGACTGTTTAAATGTCACTAGACACTGGCAATGTCTGAACACATCAGGCCACAGTATTTGGAAGACGATGATGAGTGTCTTCCCTGTTGAAGGGTCCTTGTCGTCTGACTTAGGTCCATATCATGAAGTCTTTCTCTTCAGTATCAGTGTGAAACTACTGAGAAATATCTCTACTCATGAAAGCAGCATGCCAGTACCATTTAGTTTTCGCTTTTTTCCTAGCAGTGCAGGCACAGTATCTACACAAAAATAGCAGTAGAATTAAGTGCAGCTAGCTGAGACTAACCCAGCCAAGGCTAAAGTGGTATGGGAAGGCAACATTTTTAAAAGCTGGCTAGGACTTCATTTATCATGAAAGTGTATAATCTCCACTCAGCCAACCTGTGCAGGGCCCTAGGATCATGTTTGATTCCTTGCCAAGTGTTAATAGAGAGCCAGCTACATGAAAAACTAAACTTTGATCTATGAACCAATGTGGTAACTGCACTCCTCCAGGACAATAAGAAACCCAAAACAGAACCCCTCAGCGCTCACGGTAAAACATGGAGTTGTGAGTTTCCTGAAACAGTTGAATCATCTATTTTCAAAAAAAAAGACACAAAACCTCTTTTTTTGTTTCATCATAATGCCCAGAAGTCTTTCTGTACCAGCATCCACCTTCTACTCAGGAAGCACCATCTCCCAAACAGAGTTTAGTTGTGGAAAGTGAGATCTGCTACACTTCATGAAATCCAGATGGGAATTTGCTTTGGTTTTTTATTTAACTGTGAACTGCTGAAATACTGGAATTGTTGGCTGTAGTTTAAATCTCTGTGGTACATTATTGGTTCTCTTTAAAAAAAGAAAGAATTAAAAGGGCCTCCCCACTTTATATGTTAAACTGATTTCTCCAGTGGAGCATGTTTCTGGTTTTCTTTCAAAACTTGAAGACCTACACAGGGACCTGTCCTGTGTGTCCCTTGCTGCAGAGTAAGATTTGTTTAGGGAACAGAGCACAGAATTGCTTGGAGGTTGGTTCTCTGGTTGACATTCTGTGCTTACGCTCTGGGGCTCTACCACCTGGAGGTGCTTTACACCTGACCTTGGCTTGAAGGAGCACTGGAGAGGAGTCTTCTGGACTACATTCCTCGTTAAAAATAAAGCTGTTGATCCAAATATTCACAGTGCATCTGGGAAAAGCTTAATTTGCAGATCACTAAAACAGGGCATAACAAAATCTGTTCACCTAATAACTGGTTAGCTGTATTACTCATCTCAAGTTAAATAATCTGCAGTTGCTTGCTGTTCAACATCTCTCATGTAGAGTACATAAATTCTAATGTATGCAATCCTTTTTATTAAAAAAAAAATATATAGGGAGACCCAGGACCAATGGGATTACCAGGACTGGAAGGACTCCCAGGGGAAAAGGTAGGACTCTTGAGAAGAAGTCATGGCTTCTTAGTGGCAACTATCTGCAGCTAAATGTTTTCTGAAACCTTGTTTGAATTTTTTTTTGTGTAAATTAATGTTTCTGTGTGAAAAATATTTGCATATTTATCTGTATTTCCTTTTTTATTTTACTGTGGATCTAAATCATATACTCACCTAACATAAAATTTCATTTTCCGCCAATGGAAAATTGTGTATTAGAAGGTCTTGTAATATTTTGTTTTCTAACCTTGATAGAATACTACTACATACTGTATATAACATGTTCATAAGTATTGTCACTAGTTCTTGTTCTCTATTGAACATTGTCTTATGCTTAGTCTGTCTGTCTTGTTCTAAGACTTACAGCATAGCTACAGATCTGAAGAGAAGTTTGTACTTGAATTAGTCTAGACCTAGTGCATGCAAGACTTCCATACAAAAAAAAGACTATTTCAGATTAGTGTAAAAATATAGAAAAGAGTAGAAACCCTGCTCCAAAGTGAGCAAAAATCTCTTTTCTCAGACTGTTGCTCATTATTCTAAAAAAGGTTCCTTGTTTCCATTTTGCTTTTCTTGCACTCCGTACTGCATGTGTGATGCCACCATAGGCCATATCATGTTCTCCAGCTCCTTCCTGTAGCTCAAGTCTGCGTTCCAGTGCTAGGAAATTATCCTTTCCTTCAGCTGGTGGCATGTTTCAGCCTTCCACTTGCTACTTGTGGAGGCTCATATGAATTTAGAGAAAAGCTTGTCACGAAAGGCTAAAAATGTCAAGATTTTGGTAGCCATTTCTAAATATGGAAAAGTACAAAAAATTCAGTGGACAAATTAAAAAAATCTGTAAATATGTTTTCTGTCAGTGAAAACAGTTTGATTTTTGCCCATACCTTCTGAATTTAAGAACAAAAAAAGTGATTTTTTTTTTTAAATGGAATATTTACTCAGCTTTTTAAATTACAAGTTATTCAATGACTTTATACAAAACTAGTTTACTGAAACTTATTTTTCATCAAAAAGCAATGTAAATTAATAGTTTTGCTCTCAATATCACTGTGCATTTCTCCCTGTGTGTACAGAGAGTGGGGAGTGACCAGATCTAAGGTAGGTATGTATACTAGATGTTTAAATTACAGGAGACAATTCTTGCTCTGGAAGACTACAAGCATTTAAAGACTAGTCTGATTTAAAAATGAACAAACAGGGGCATATTACAGGTCTAACTGAGACAAAGTAGGGACAAGAATTAAATAAAGGGAATAAGCAATGGAGTGGATGATATAAACAAGCTAAGTGAGTGTTTGGCCCTTTCCCAAAGTAAAAATATACTTTCCTTAACTAAATTTGGTCAAAATTCCACATTTCTGGTGCAAATAAATGAACAGAATCCCAGAGTCTGCCTGCCAGTCCCAGCAGCATAGTGCATGCTGTTTTTTAATTTAGAGCTATTAGGTACCTCTGTGTAGCAGAATGCCATCTTCCACAGACAATGTTGGCTGTAATTCCATGGTAATTTCATGAACTGCCTTAAGAACTTTGCATCCTCAGGGTAAAATGTCCCTTCCCTCAGCTGTGCTGACACAGTGTTTTGTGCAGCCGAGCTGCAAATCACATTGCTGAAAGGACCAGAATAACCCTTAAAAGAAAAAAAGTTGCAAGGAAAGTGTTAGGAATTTCTAACTTCACTGTCGCACCCAGAATTTGAAAGACACCACGATACAAGTCCTGGGTGCAAAATAACCACAGGGACAGAGTGCAGTGCTCCAGCCAATATGCCCTGCTTCCGATGCACAGTGCTCGGGTGTTCCTGAGGTGCATGTCGTGTTCCTCACGAGGGGTGGCCTTGCATTAGGTGACTTCTTTTAGCCTTCAGAGCAAAAGAGGTTGAACTCTGGCCTGTCAGCAAGCTTCTCCCTCCAGATACAAGGTCAGACATTTAACTCATCATCTGTCTACACTTTGTGTAATGGAGCCAAGTGTTTCTAATTACCAACATTATCACTGCTCTACCTGAACAAAACTACAAGAATGAGACAAATCAGCATTAGGTATCAGAACAGAAACCAGAAATCCCAACATCTCCCAGTGCCCTTCTGCACAACAGAACGTGGCTGTAGCTATGTTGGCCGAGCTTTTGCAAAACAGCTCCAAGTAACATAAACTCATCTCACAAAAATATCCTCTTGTTAGTATGGCTTTAGCTGTGCCAGGGATTTTCTGACATGGTTATAGAAACCAGGAGCCTGATTTTTTTTCTTAAATTTTTAACCAGTGTTATACTAGCAGACCAATACATGTCAGCAGTGTGTTAGGGCAAATCTTCCTGTGTAGAGTTTTACCACTGGTGAGCTCCATCTGTCTGCTTTGGGCTATAGTCCTCTCAAGAGAGAAAGATGCATTTGTGCCTATAACTCATCAGCTCCAGCACAAAAGCCGGTGCCTTAGCTTAAAGCATAGATGAAGGTGACTGTATGCTAAAAGGAGAAACTTTGCCCCGAAAGGACTATGGCAGAAACAAATCGAGGGTGCTGACTTGCAGCAAACAGATGACTGAGTAGCACAAAGGTGAAAACTTCTTTGAAAGATCCATCTTAAATACGGGGCTGTTGATGTGATAGTGAATAACCCTATGTCAATTTTGGTCATTGTCATGACCACAAATGATAATTATTTGGAAAACTACAGATAAGTCAGGGACCTTCTATCCCTTTTTGAGGAAGGCCTCAAGCAGAGTATAAGGGATAGCATGGAAATTATGACATTATGCAAGAGAACCTAAACAAAGGATTTAAGTTACTTGCTCAAGTCTGTAAAATGAGTCATTGGCAGAGCTAAATATTAGCATTTAGCAGAGCCTGGCTCTTCTCCTTGTTTTCAGTTCACTGAATAATCTTTCCTCAGGTTTTAATGGGAATCCACAAACGAAATTCTGTTTTGAATGTTACCATTTAAGTATAGGTTTATCTTTTCTTCAGGGTGACCGTGGACCAGCTGGCACGCCAGGAGTAGCAGGGACACCGGTACGTATATTCATTAAAGAAAACTCAGTTTGTTAGAAGCTGAAAAACACAGGTCAAGCAAGATGCTGAGCTGTAATCTCAATCACTATTTGTGGAATGCCAGTGCTTGGCTACTGCTTTATAGGCAGGTATGAAAATGATGTGTTTTTCCTGAAGAGATTAGCATTTTAATACCACCGAGGGTTCATATTATTATTAAAATGACAGGAGGCAATGGTGTGAATACATGATAAAGCTGGAATTTCAAGCTGCATATGCCTAGTTAAGAAAGCATATGAGATTCTTCTCATTGCCTCAGTTTAATATAGATAAAGACATTTTCTGTGTTCCTGGGCATGCACAAATTTCAGAGTGTCTTTCCATCACAAAGAGAAATTATGAATGTTAGTTATTGCAGTCCAAAAGGATCTGCATATCAAGTTGATCAAACATTTGCTTTAGGGAAATGCTTTGTCAGCTGTTTACATGTGGTATTCAGGGAAGTTTCTGAAAGTCATTCAGAAACTTTGTTGTAGGTGAAAGTAAATGTAACTAAGGATAAATTGAAATTATAATTATTCATTTGTGTTCCTAAAGGAAATGAAGACAACTTTTCTTTAGATTGCATTCACAGTTTAATAAAAAAGTTTATCCATATTTCAGGAGGCCATATGGAGTTATTTATATGCAAATACATTTATTATTAAATTTGGGCAGCTACCAATCCATTCAGGAGCCATTTTTAAATTATAAATATGTGTTTCATGAAATAAAGAGAAGTTTGTTTCTATGCACACACATTTCCATTAGCCACTGATTTAGTCTATTTACTGGGAGTTCCAAGAGAGAACATCAACTTAAATAGCTTAATTTCGTTAAGTTCTCCTAAAACAAGGTAAAATCGCGCATTGAAGGGGAAAAAAGTATTTCTCTGAGTTTTATAGCCCATGTAAGAGCTTCAAAGTTTGTTGCTCTGAAATACATTTCACACAGTGAATCAATAATGCAGTAGCTGGTTAGGGTGATCACAGTTGTTCATTCCCTGTGTATTTCCCACTGGATATGTTCCAAGTCTTACTCTTGTTGCTCTCTATTCTAGCTGGATATGAAATATTTAATGAGTTCCCTTCACCACTGATGGAGTTGCATTCTGTTGATTACATTTAATTCTAATAAAATCCACTGAAGTAAATTACTTGCTTTAACATTTTATGCTAAGCAGTTTTAATTAACAAATTAATAGACATATGAGAGACGATATTTTTTAGGAGTCTAGGAAGAGTTTTTGAAATATATCCACATGTCTTACTGGAAGACAATTTGTCCTCGTTGCCTAGTATTATTCCCTAGATTGAATAGTGGACCCTTTTTCCCATTTGGGAATACAAACTTCTCATTTTAGCTTTGGCTTTTTGCTGAGCGGGATTATCAGGGAAGCTTGGAATTGGCACCAGTGCCTATTTCATCAGCACGAGTCCTCAGTCCTGTTGTTCCTGAAGTTGTCACTGGCGTTGATGTGTCAGATCCCTCACTTGTACAAGCCAGCTGAGGATCTGGTCTAAGGATATTTCTGGGAAACGTAGAATCAGGGTAATAGATTCTTGTCTGGGACTGAACCAAATAGGTTGTTAAAAGCAAGGAATCATTTAAAACAAATAAAGACATTTAAAATCACAGTCTAAATGATGAGATGAGGAAGGATTGTGAATTCTGGCAGGCTGAACATTAAACAACAACAAAGTGGCCAAAAAAGAGCATGAAGAAAATTTGCAAAAGGTGTTAAGTCAGTAATAAACTCACTTTAAAAAAAATCAGGACTAGGAAGTACACATGTAGCGGTAAGTTCACATATACAGTGATAAAGTTTGATCTGACTATGACTTCTCAAGAAGGAAATCATAGTGGTGTTAAAGAAAATTTCATGAAAACATTTTCTCAGTATTCAGAAAGGGTAAAGAAGACCAAGTGATTGAGTTATATTGTACAGAAGAGCCAGATTAACATGGCACAAATATTAAAAAAATCTGGTAAAATATTTCTTTTTCCTCTCTTAAAGCATTTAATGAACAGTAACATGAATATTTCACCCAAATATATATCGTCTCTTATTTCTGACCTAAGAGAAATGTTTTGCTTCCTAGTAATTTGAATTTGTAATGTTCTCTTTTTGCAGGGAAAGCCGGGATCCCCCGGGTCCCCAGGGATGCCAGGGGAACCTGTAAGTACAGATTTGACTTCTGGAATCATGTTAATACACAAATATTTCAAAGACCAAATGCAAGATTTTACATGCAGATTTATACGTGTGATTTCTTCTTTCTTAGGGTGAAAGAGGACCTATAGGAGATATAGGCTTCCCTGGGCCAGAAGGGCCACAAGGAAAACCAGTAAGCAATGAGATACTGAATATATATGCTCATTACCAAAGGACGCACCTTAGTTTATCAGAAGTTACAAAAGAAACGAGATTATATCCTGCTTTGTGTTAGGCTAGGTAACATCTGAAAAACACTTAGAGCTACAGTGCTCAATATTAACCATCCAGTCAAGAATTCCTGGTATTGCCATGTTTTAACAGTTAATGTTACCGAGATGTTGCCTTTAAAGGTCTTCTAAGGGTCCTTTGGATCCTGTTGAAGTAAAGGATCCTCTTGTGGTTTTTTCAGGAGAATATTAACCCCGTCACTCAGCACAGTCTATAAAAGATGGGGTGACAAAATACATTCTCGGTTTCAGTTTAGATAGAGAAACATGCGCTTCATGACTCTGAATAAACTTCATAACTCTTCTGTATACAGGTGATGCAGCTGAAGCATTTACTGTTCACTTAGGATATGTCTCATCTGACCTCTATTTAATAAAAGTGTGACAGCAGTGTATCAGCACTGTCTGAGCTGATTTAAAACAACCTAGTTTATATTCTAGAAATGGTTCAGCTAGGATAGCACAGAACTCATTATCTACCCCAAAGCTTGGTGTTTTGGGGACAAGTGTGAGAAGCAGACTGCTTCAGTTTGTCAGCGCGTCTCCACATTAAGCTTCTGTCTTGAAAGAGGAGACAATTTCTGTAACTTCAGCAGCAAATTGGCCCAAGGTGCCTAATCTGTGCAAAATTCCACTTTGCAGTATGAGAGGGAAGGAAATATTTGTGATGTCTTTGCTCATGCAAGTCTGTCTTTCTCAGTGGAATAGCAGTGAGTTTGCCGCATCTGCAGGTCCATGTATATCCTGGTAAATTGAACAGTGTCAGAGCGTTTGTCTTGCAATTATCTGGCATTGTGCAATTGCTGCTCCCTGACATTATTTTGACCCATGCCAACTGGGACTCTCAGATAATGCCACATTCCAGTTTGGGGGATGACATGGGCCTGGGACCATTTCCAGCAGGTGTTATGAATGAGACCACCCTCTTTTGGGAAGGAAATATGTTTAGCCCAGGAGGCTGAAGCTGTGCCATGCGACAAGTCCTAAGGACCAACAAGTGGATCTGGCCACTTAACTATTAAGGCATAATCTCTCTAAGAGCAGAACTATAATAGGGCATCAGGGTTAATATCTAGAATAAGAGAAACCTCTTCTATGGTTGTATAATCACTAGCTGGGACTGGAAAAGTGCATGTACAGGTCCATATTCCACATTTGCAGACATTCCATATAACTTTTCTTTTAAAGTTATGTGCTCATTAAAGTTTATGCATGTCTTGATGCCAAAGATTTTTTTTGCTCTGCTCTCAGCTCAAATTTAGTGTGCTTGCAGTTCAGGATTGCCCTGAGCTCTGTTATTTCACATCTCAAGACTATTTGTGAGTATTTCTATATTGCCTCTGCAGCTTCAGAATACGTACTGATACCAGCACTAAACATTGAGCTTTATCCTTTGTATCCTTAAAATGCATATACATAAGCATATTTATTAAAAAATTGTTTTGTTGTTTTTTTTTTTTAAATAGGGAATCAATGGAAAAGATGGATTGCCAGGTCCTCCGGTAGGAAAACATGTTTTTGCATATTAGAATATTTTATTCTTCACAGATACCGTAGCTGTTAATCCTAGGCAGTTGCTTTCAGTTCTGCTAACAGATGAATATACAAAAGAGCCTTTAAGTGATATGTTTACCTTTTTTTCAAAAACAACTTTTCAGGGTGCTGTGGGAAGACCAGGAGACAGAGGACCCAAAGGAGAACGTGTAAGTCTCTTGTTTTAATAACATTTTTCTTTTTACTGAGCATCTGAGCACCTCATCAGTGCATATTTTACAGGCAAACCCAAGAAATTAATTCTCTGTGAACTTCAGGCAGTCTCTTAGACACCTAGACACCACTTTAACAAATTAGAATTGAATTGCTTCTGCATTTAGAGGAAAAACACATTTTATAGACTTGCTAACACAGTTGGCCTGGACAGTGTAAATCGATCAATAGGTTGAAAATTAGAAAGTAGCTAATCCTGTCGTGATGCTGTCAGACTTTGCAAGAGCTATGGAGCTTGCCCCACTGTCATCCCTGGGATATGTCACAAACA